GCTGGATGTTACTGTAATTCCTGCGGATTGCGATAGTCCTGGATTCTTCTTTTCAGCGGAGGCGGCTTTCATCTTCATTGATGCAACCAAGAGGTTCACTCGCTCGCAAGCGCTGTACAAGTGCCAAGAAGTATCATCTCTTGGTGTTTCTGAAGCCTAAGATAGCAATCATGAAGCTCCGAGCTTTGCGTTGCGTGCGTTGCTGCATGGAAGAAACCCAGGTTGTGGACAGCTGTGAAAATATTGGAATGGAGTTTGCCTTTCAGTAGTCAACATCTTTGCATTGTTTCAGCATGTTTCAGCGTGTTTCAACCAACAAATGCCAACGTCCTTTTGAACGCAAGTCTCGCAGTGATTGGAGATGCCTTCTGCATCTCATGGGGCTCAAAAGTGATCATCCTTGTTGGAAGTGTTGGAAGTGTTGGAAGGTACTGATGAAATCTGATGAATCTGTGTTCAATATGTGTTCAATTCAGTTGATCTCAGCTGAGCTGCTGTATGTTGCCATAGCCCCTGACCTCATTCCTCGCGAGCCTTGATGCAAGCCTGAGAACGGGATCCGCATGGATCTGTCCGGTCCATTGGTGATCTTTTCTATCAGATTATATCAATGTCGGTCAATGTCGATGTGGAAATGTTGATCAATTGACACCGTGGCCACATGTGGCCACCAAAAAACCTCAGCGATCCTCAGCGATGATGTTTCAGGTTGTTGACAAATTGTTCCTGACCTCCAATGCATCTTTGAAGATGCTGATGCCTGACGGACCATGTTCCTTTTGAACCAATGACATTGGCAAAGCATTTCGACAGCAACAAGTCAAGAATCCAAGAAATCTGTCAGCTTCGTTGTGTTTTAACATTACACAACTTACACAACTTGAGCCAGAAAGAACAAACAGAGTGAAATCCAAACAAGGCAAGGTGACTTTTCAGTGCAAAGTCTCTATCCACAATTTCTTCATCCCCAGATCTTCAACTCTGATGCCTGCGTCACATTCCTCTTTGCTGACCTCGCAAGAAAATCATCTCTGTGGTTCTTGACGAGTCTTTGTGCGATAAAGCCGTGGGACAAAATGCATTTGGCTATAGGGAAAGGCAACCGCTCTTTGAAGTCAAGGGTGCAGGTACGCTGAACGCTCACCCCATGCACAAAATGCTGCAAGTCTGCTGGCACAGAGCCCAACGAAAATGAAGCAAAAGGAGGGGCTTGCACATGTTTGGCAATGGTGGCAATGGTGTGGCAATGGTGGCAATGGTGGCAATGGTGGCACTTGTTTGGCACCAAAGTGCCCAAGTATCCCACGTCACCATATCTCAGCTGCTGGCGATTAGTGGTGGAATGATTCGAAGAGTCTCGAAGATCCTGAAAACCGCAGGAAGCTGCCGTTGTTTTGATGTCGTTGCCTTTATTGATCTTTATTGATCTTTATTGTTTTTTTCTCCTTTTCAGCGGATTGCAAAGGCCTCTTGCCCGTTTTCTGACCATTCCTCTTTTGCAACGTCTGCATACGTCTGCTGGGTTCCACTTCATTTTCTCATCTTGTTCCTGCGCTTTCCTGCTTTCCTTCCTATCCCAAATCTCACATCTCCGTTTCTCTGCGCCTTTCCGTTCTGCTGGTTTTCTACAAATGGAGTCACAACGAGTTATGTACCCCGAGGTGTTCGAGGTTTCAATGAAATTGCAACACAGGTACATGCCTGAAAATCATTGTTCTCTTCACACATGAACGATCACATGGCAAGCCAACTACATTATGTTTGAAACTTTTGGATCATTTTTACATATTTTTACTAGAGTCAATGAACTTCTGCGCGCACCCGGTTGGAAGGAGGATAAGTCCACGCGCTAGGCATGCCTGGTACCAGGAAAATCACAGCATCCACCAAACCATGAAAATGTTAACTTTAAAACGTACAGGTTAATGGGTGAATGATGGTTAATGATGGTTAATGATGATTAAATATGATGATTTCAGAGGTCTTCCAATCTGGAGAAAAACTATGGTTTTCGGAATCTATTGATAAAAACACTTGAAAAAAAGTAAGCTGTTTCTAGGTCTCCAACTTCATCTCAAAACATATCAAAACCAGCCTTGACCATCTGCTGCGCGAAGCCTTTTGGCACCTGGCCACCACTTTTGAATGTGAGATGCTTCCACTCCACCGTCTGCAAAACACAGATATCATTATCATTATAAATATATATATATATAGATAGATTTCATTGGTTGCCTCATTGAAATCTGACCGTGCCGCCGTGCCGCCGTGCCGCCGTGCCGCCCAGAGGTATCCAGAGGTCCAACCTGGTGAAATTCCAGGCCAATCATCAGACCAGGTCCACGCACCTTGGAACGGCGCGTTTTTTTTAAAGGCCAACCAGTTGACCCAGAACTGGTCAAGTCATGTCAAGTCATGTGTCATGTCGGAACGAATTCTTTGGTCATAGAATGTTGGCAGAATGTTGTAGTCACATTGTAGTCAATAATTTGAAGCCACCAGCCATGTTAGCTCACCTCGCATCAATGTCATCAATGGGAAAGGGACTCTACACTGCAGCACCTCCTGAATGACTTCTGGATACCGTGCTCGTAAATCTTCCAAACCTTTTCTCCTTGGCCAATGATCACTATATGTCATATATGTCACAATAAACTCCAGCAAACAAAGTCTTGACCCTTGAACCTTGCAGAACCTGTTGCAACATCGCATTGAGCCTCTGACAAGTGCTCCCCCCGGGCAGCCACTGTTTCCATGAAGTTGGGTGCCATCATCACATCCAACCTGCGATATCTGCGATGAAGATGATGAAGGATGGATGAGATGATTGAGATGAGAATGCCATGGCAAAACAGCTCCATACAGCTCCATACAGCTCCATACAGCTCCAAGGAGCAAACGTGGCATTTGCTGCAGCACAGGCTATTGCATTTCCCGCATAGGTCCCTGCCATGGACTGACACAACTTCAGAATCAAGTTTTGGAAACTTGTGGTTCATATATGTTCATATTATTCACTCATCAGAGTTCATCAGTTTTCATCAGCTTTCTGCTGCTGAATCCAAGCAGAACCTCCTTGACTCCCAGGTGGCTGCGCTGCAGTCAGCGCCCTTAGATGAGAAACTGCTGACATCTCCAGACATCTCCAGATTTTCACATGAAATCTGCCTTGTGCCGCCAAAGTTTGGGATGAGAATCATGGGAATCATGGGAATCACATGACACACCCTGCCGATATCGATATCTTGGAACATCGACAAAGAAATTCTCGTATTCAAGATATTTCAAGATATCCGGGCCTTCGAGATGCAATGCCCGCTAAGGGGAAGCCAGAAGCGACACCTGCGACAGTGAAGCAGGGCCTGATATGTTTACAACAACATATCACAATCATCACAATCCTTCAATTGATTTCAATTGATGTCAATTGATTTCAATTGATTTCACTTGATTTCAATTGTTCATCGACACAGCGGCCTTTGGCAAAGACTAAGATATCCGGAGAAACCTCACAAAAAGTTCGTCACCAAATGCTACAAGCATTGTACCATAGTGAATGTTCCACCTCTGTGGCAATGCACCACAACATAACGCTAAATTAGTTGTACCATTTGGGTTCATTTGGACTCTCATCTAGACTGTACATTAGTCCTCACCTCGTCTTTTCTGGTGTTTCCTTGTGTTTGGGGGATCTATGCAAATCAGCTACAACCAACCAGAATTGTTGAGAAACGTCCGGGGCCAAACCCCAACCAACCCCAACCCCAACCAACCCCAACCACATCATCTTGCCATGGTTTGAGCTCCGGAACGTTGCTGTGGTCCACCGCAAACATGCGACCAGTTCGGCCGAAACTGCGGCGCAAGTGGTGAGAAGATGTCTGATTCGCAGTGACTCTGATGGTACACACTGACTGATCATGGGATCACGAATCGATCCAGGGCCGTCGTTTAGTTTAGATGATGAAGAATCGCAAGTCCAATTGGATGGGCCAGGTGTTTCAGGTACATGGATGGGCCACTCTCGGTCTGCGTACCCACTTTGCACTTCGTCTGCGATGAAAAGCAAGTTGTGCCTGCAAACAGAATTCTGGGAAAAGTGAGGAAACTTCTGGGCCTCTGGGTATGATGTAAGTGCTCTCTGAATATCTTCTGATTATTGACATAATCTTATAACATCTTATAACTTAATGATACTTCATGTATCTTCTTCATGTAATTTACAATATTTACATATATTATTTACATATATTATTTACAGTTATTTAATTTGTCGATAATGTCGATATTTCTCAATGACGTGTATAGATTTATCTTTTATCAGCTCTGCTCCGTCCGATGTCCCAAGGCTCCACACCGATCACAGAAGTCTCGGATTCCTTGCCTTGCAGCTCCGATGCGCTCCCAGAATCCATATATAATCCATGGGAAACACACCCGGATCCCTTGAAACATCCTGACACCTTTTTTCTCTCAAATCTTCAGAGATATCTCAGTTGCTGGCAACAACCCAGGTGCTGGCGGTACATATCCACCTTCTCCAAGCACCTCATTACAGGGTTGTTTTAAGCTCGACTTGGCCATATGTGGCCGTCCAAGTGCTGAGGTTTCCACAGGCTCCAAGACCACAGCAGCGGTCTCACTTGCGGCAGTTTGTTGCTGCAGCATGATCTCAGGGAGCCCAGGCTGAAGCCCAACATCTTCCCATCAGTGAAATAACATTGCCATGGGATGCCACCCGGAAACCATCGGAAACCCACAAACGGCACAAACGTCAATCATTCGGTTTAAACATGTTTACGGGTGTCCGATTCGACAGGTACCCACAGCCAAATGTCTCAAGGGATTTGTAACATGCACTGCCTCCAGTTGCTCGACCGCCCATTGAGCATGGTCTGGTTGACTGCAGCGAGTATCAGCGAGTACGTGAAAGCGATGATGATCGATGATGCTTCACTTGAAAGAAGGTTGAAAGCACGTGGATGCGTCCGACTCCAAATAGCACGTCACATGCACGTCACCTATTGCAGTCCATCCTGCCTTGGAACTGAATGGAGCGCAAAAAATGGGTGTGGCGCCACGAAAACGCCTGAAGGATCATTTTCCTTCGTGGAACTGGTAACATCGCATTTATCAAACAGCTGATGTTTCTTGATTTTGATGATAATGAGGAAGAGGAGCAGAGGAGGAGGTGATGGTTGAAGCATTGTTGAAGCATTGTTGAAGCTGCATGCCAATTCAAATCACGTCAGTTTTTTGAGCTGAAGGTTGTTCTGAGACTGTTACCTGACGCATGAGGACCATATCCTGCGCGGTATTTGGTGCCACTGCTGGTCATACCTGGCCAAAAGGCAGTCGCACTCGCAGTGCTACCCATGCGTTTCCCGGCTCTTTGGGGGGTCATGGTCAAGTCGAGTGGTTGTAAAACCGGCCAGGGATTCTCATTGTGAGCAGCGTCCGACCATGGTAACCTCCCTGAAACCTGCTCCACTCCCAGAGGAACCAAGATCGCCATGACTGGCATCCAAGTTTCAAGGTTCACACGGCGGGCAGCTGGGAGCCATGCACTATGACATTGGGCTTCTTTGTTGCATGCCTTCAGACCAGGTGTTTCAATGACTGAAACATATCATGTCTGGTACACACTTTATCTCAGCATGTGCACAAAATGTTCACGAGGCCAGTGTCAGCAAACCGTCGGGTAAGCGCCCGTGTATGGAATTCCTTTGCTGCCGTCAGTGTTTTGGAACACACCTCTTTTGCTCACCGGTCTCTTGGGAAGCCTACTGATGGTGCTCAAGACTTGCTTAGCAATTCTGAGCCAAAGAACCGTGCATATTGTACAACACATTACAACACGTTACAACACCATAGAATGCTCCGTGATATCTCCCTTGAAGATACACATACTCTATGAGCCTGGCATATCTGTCTCTGTCGCCTGTTCCAGGAACGACAGGCCCTCGCAATGGAGTGGCAAGGATGCGAACAAGGCGGTGCCTACACCGGTCACCGGTCCATGCCAGTTGCACAGTGCTCGGATGTGCTCGGATCTTACCGTGGCAAAGACCAGTTGGCTCTGTCAATTGCTTTGTTTGACCAAGACATGATGGGTACAGAATTCGATTTGCTAAATCCCCGATTCGTCACCATGAAAGGAGTGCTTTCTGCAACTTGAATCCTCTTGGAGACTCGTGGAGATGACACAGACAGGGCTGGCAGTGCTGGCAGTGCAGGTGGCGCCTCCCTTTCGATGCCCTTGGCCGCCTTGGCCATGCCCTTGGCACCTCTCTGTCGATAGTGAGGAGGACCCACTTGCTGCGCCAACATCTCTCGTTCCTTTCTCAGCAACCTCAAGATCTTCAGATTCTCTTTCAAGTCATCCGGGTGTTGCTTTCCAGCATCTCTTGTGATTGCTTCAATATTACCCCAGGTGTCCTGTGCAAAAATCCCGATCAAGGCAGGTCTGCAAAATCGAAATTCCAAAGGAAAGGATTTCAATTGTTCTCCGTTCTCCAGAGCACGAACCACATCCTTCACCTTTGGATCTGGCCGAGCACGTGCATAGGCTTGGGCATGTCTCCCCGGAAGCATGTCACTTGGAAGTTTGGTGCAAACCGCTTCCAAGCCGTCTCCAAACCTGATCCCAGCACGACCATGTTTCTTATCAGAGAACCGAGACACCACAAACTCAGCCGCAGCACGTGGACCTCGCGCCTCCGCGAACAGCAAACCCTCGACCTCTTCATGTCTCTTGAATTCAAGCTTGAAATGAAGAAAAGTGTGAGAATCACGATAAATGTTCAGAACCTCTTCCACAAAATCAGACCTTCGAGACATCGAGGCATAGTGCAAAGCAGTGTTGCCCACAATGTCAGCGACTTGGAACAAGTGTGGGTAATGCACAGCATATTTCTTCACCTCTCGGAGGTTCGCTTCAGTGCAATTCACATGTAGATCTCTAAGCCTCGCAGCATCCTCACGATTGATGGGAGTCAAATCATGACCTGTCTGGGGCGCCAGCATTGGCTCCCCATTGAACGAACAGGGCCCCGATGCGTTGCACCGGTGCCTCTGGTGCCTCCTGCCTTGGGCCGGGAGCACTTGAGCCGAAAGCATCGAAAGCTGAGGTTGAGCGTCACAGAGCACCATACCAAACCCATCCAAACCCCTGGAAATGAGACCAAAATGACCAAATAATATCCAAAAATGGCCAAACGAAACTCTAATCTTGAATCTTGCACCCTTGATCTTTTGAACAGGCAATTGTGAAGGACCAGGGTTGGGCACCCAGCTCACACATGCGACCTATTGTTCTGCCTTTTTAGCGCTGCTGAATCTGAAATTGAACGACAACTACTTCTGCAAACATAAAGCCCCAGGAAATCCAAGCGGACTATCCATCTTCCATGATCTTCCATGATCTTCCATGATCTTCCATGATCTTCCATGATCTTCCATGATCTTCCATGATCTTCCATGATCTTCCATGATCTTCCAGTAAGAATTGTCTGGATTTGATCAGATTTGATAGATCCATTTAGTGAGGCTTGTGGACACCAGCAACGCCAGGTTTGAGATCGCCTCGCCAGCTTCACAGCAGCTTCAACTGCCTCTGAACCTGTGGTGACGAAGAGAAAGCTGTCGAGACCTTTGGGCATCACCTTCCTCAGCTGCCCCAAGTCACCAGCAACTCAACCAGGACAAGCTTTTTTCAATGCTGGAGACTGCATGTCATTGATGACATGTCCATGTTGTGCTGATAAACACCATGGCCGATGTTTCTCTCGCAGTTTATAAGTTAATAACATTTTATAACTTATAACCATCAGATTCATCAGATGTATGATTTCAAAATGACCAATCTTAGAAAATCAAACCTTATTTATCCATATTTATCCCTCATTCCTCATCATCCTCATTGACCATCGAATCTGGAGTATCCACATGTCGATACGTGGCCGATGTTATCCCAAGTGGCTCCAGCTTCTTCGTGAGCTCCAACATTGGCCCGTGAAAAGCGATATTCACCTCGACAGACTCAAGACAGACTCGACAGACTTGACAGATCAAAAATGATCAAAATGACACAACGCCAACACTCCGGTTTGGTGGTTTCGTGGAAAATTGCTGGTTTTTTTCTGGCGATATGTTAAACATTGTTTAACTGGTTCTGGGTACTTCTTGCGTTTCAATCGCTTTTAGTAGCAACATTGTGCGAATGTCTGTAATTTGATCATTCGCTCTTCAATGCTGCTTTCCAGCCCTCACCTGGGCATGCCAAAGCTTTCCCAGCTGCTCCCGAACTGCTTCTGTCACTCGAGGATGGCAGTGCCCCAAGTTCGTCACACCAATGCCTGCGCTGCAGTATTCCCATACAACCGTCACAAGAACAAAGTCAACCTGAGGCATTCACGAGAGTCTAAAAGGAGAAAAATACATAGTGATGGAAAGAGGAGTTTGTGGTGAAATTTGTTTCGAGTCTTGAACTATCTCTTAATGCAAAACCTGCAAGCAAAATGGAGCCCTTTTCCATCCTTTCCCTGTTCTCACTCCTGTGGAGAAGTCCAAGTACTTTTCGCCATCTGTGGTGTACAGCCAACTGCCCTCTCCCCGATCAAGGACCTGAAATGCCAAAGGGATTCAACTGTACCAAATGCCAGTTTGGATCAAATGTTCTGACGAAACCGTTACTGCCAGCTGAACAGAAGGCCAGAACCATAGCTGATGCCATTGGTACTTTCTTGACTTTCCTTCTGACTTTTCTGAAATCCTCTGAAATCAGCTGAAATTGGAAATCCAATGATTTTCTGAAATCCATCGGTACTTTGCTCCGCACCAAATTGGAAATCCGTCCAATGCCGGCACCGATGCGCTCGGCACCAGCAGGAGCTTCTGCAGTGGCGCCTGGCACCATGTGGCGCTGCACTTGGAAGTTACGACAAGCTACGTATAGTACATGTGAGCGAGATAAGGAAAGATTGTTAGATTTTGATTTTAATGTAGATTTAATTCGATTATATAGATTTGACAGATAGATATCAACAAATAGATAGACAGGTAGATAGGTAGGTAGATAGATAGCTACGCAATGATAAACATGTGTGATTGTGTGATATAACCCTATTTGAGACCGAGCCTTGATGTGAGATGCTGCGCAGCCCTCTGACCAAGTGAGGCCATGCTACCCGAGCCCTCCGCATGGTTTAGGCTTGAGATAAAGTGAGTCTCCACATCTGAAAAACCATGGTGTTTGCCGACGGCAACTCAGGTGTTGAAGTACTTCTTGTATGTAGCTCGTTGCCCCTTTTCCTTTGAAATCATCCGTTCTGCCAAGGCTCTAAGATTCTGCAGTTCTGATTATGTACAAATGATGCTAACGCTTTGAGCCCAAGAGACACGAATCATTAAGAGAACCAATCCGCTTGCCGGGCTTGCCGTGTGGGAACTAAATCTGCCAACGTATCTCACAGATTCTCACAGTGCAACGTGTGACTGAGCGCTTTTTCACAGGAAATCTCTGGCACGCTTCCGCCTGGCAGCACAAGCCCGAGTCACTTTCTTGGCCCATTTTTGGCGAGATGACACAAACCCTGTCATATCTGTCATTGCTTGCGGGGAATAGCTAGACTTGTGAATCAGCACCTATTTTTCTATGGATCCACTCTTCTGGAGCCTTCTTGGCAGAGTGGGACATATTGATGCCATCAAGAGACTCCTGAGGATTAGACAAGTTTGAAAAAAAAACACTTTTGACGTTTCAAGGGCAGCCCAACACACAGTGCACTTGGTGAAGGAATGATCATTTTCTAGCATACCACGCAACCCCCCAAACCTACAGAGGGTCAGTTATGGCCATTCCATCTTCAAAACATATCTAAGGAACAAAGAGGAACAAAATCAAACAACTGCCATGCCTGCAATTGCCTTCGGCCGAAGGGCCTTCCTCGGTGGTCCAGTGACGCAGTGACGCACGGTGACGCACGGGTCTCAGTCGTGATTTGAAGCTCTAAGAGCGGGTCCATATCATCTGGTTGCTGCATGGCAGGGCCACCAAACTTGTCCTTCGTCGATCTTCGTCGCAACCACTCGCCCAGTGGTGGATTGGTGTTTCATGGTGTTTCATGGTGTTTCATGGTGTTTCATGGTGTTTCATGGTGTGTTTCTGTGAATGAAAAACTCACAATTTGAAACTCAAAACTCACAGTCAACTCAGGCGGCATCCCGAGCACCGGGAGGTGGCGGTTCCTGACACATACTGAAAGCCAAAGCGCTGGTGTCTATCGAAAAATTGGATCTCCTGGTTTTTTGTTCCATGCATAAACCCAAATGGCAGAAGAGCCTCTGACACGGAAAAACAACTTCAAGAAGTAATTCTTACAAAGTTCACGCTGCTCGTTCGAAATTTACCTTGGCTTTCCCACACTTGGTCTGGCGTGAAGCCTTGACATGTCCCAAACATCTGGACATGTCTGATTTTATTTGACTGGATATCATGATATCCCAAACATTCCAACCCTTCCAGTAACCCTTCCAAATCCATCCAAATCCAACCTGCTCGTAAATGGTTTGGATGTCATCCGGAGTATCATCCAAGTCATCGCCATCGTCGTCAGCAGATTTGGGTCTTGCGAAAGCTGCGGTCCAGCGACCATCCGGTCCGAAGTCACCCAGCCGACAGCTGAGCGCCGAGCCTGGAGTCTCAAAGCTGGTGGCCTGGCTTTCGATTAACTCTGAGACGTAAGGAAACTACATAAAGATCAATAAAGATCAATAAAGAACAATAAAGATCAATAAAGTGTGATAAGGACTGAAGATTGATAAAGTATGATAAAGTATGACAAAGTGTGCTTAGTTTTGGGAAATGTTGGGAATATTGGAAGCGAAGGTGCTTTTTTTTTAATGGGAAAGTTTCACTCCCACCGCCTGCCAGCAATGACCTAAGGGCCTCGAGGGCGTCCAGCGAGGCCTCTCCAACATGATGACGATGACCAACAGTCGCCAACATCCTAGTCATACTTAAAACCTTGGAAAAAACTAATCTATTCAAATCATAATGATATGATGTTATGAATATCATATGAATATCATATGAATATAATTCTAATATACCTTAATTATATACCTATAATATACCTTAATTATATACCTATAATATACCTTATATACCTTATGTGCCATGCATACCTTATGTACACCTTGTATACCTCACATACCTTATACACCTCATATACCGTACCTTACATACCTTGTATACCTTATATGCCTACATCATATGTACATCATATGTACATCATATGTACATCATATGTACATCATATGTACATCATATGTACATCATATGTACATCATATTTAACATCTGTCCATCTCTTTGTGAATCTCCGGCACTCCGACGAACGTGCCTTGGACAACTTGCCGCCAGGAAGGCCAGGAGGAAGCTGCGCAAAATGTGCAAGGTCTTAAAGACATTAAAGGAAAATCAGCAGAAGCCAAACATATAAGATATCTAGTAAATCATATTAAATCATATTAAATCATATTAAATCATATCAAATCATATTAAATCCATGTTCCCAATACATTTCAGCTATCATGTGAGCCGGAAGCCAAAAGCCATCCTCCTGACGCATTCCACGAGTGTCTGTGAAACAAATGCGACAAGATCGACAAGTGCAGGTCCAGCGATTTTGATTATTTCACTCATTTATATTTAATTATATTTAATATACATTCCTTTATCGTGTCTGAATCCATCCTATTCTATTCCCAAGCCTTGTCCAATCAATCCTGCGCAGGGGCTACAGATCCAGCAAACAATGTGAAAAGATACTGACCCGGGTCAGTGGATTAGACTAGACTGAAATATTTCCTGAAATCGAGGCTACAACACACCAACAGCAAAATCAGCAAAATCAGCGATGCAACTTGTCGGTCCCGGACACCATTGGGACCATGGTCCCCGATGCCAAATTCACAGGTAGCTGCACAGGCGGTCCTCACACTGAAAACGACTCCAGTCTGCAGATCGAAATTTCGTAAGATCGCTTTGATTTATATTGATTTATTGTGTATGTTTTAACTTATCATGTTTTATCTTGTAAGTGCTGAGTTGCTGATGTGTTGAGTTGAACGACCAATCTTCTGATCATTTGATCTGAATCGATGAACAATCTGCTGCTCTCCTCCCCACTTGTCTGTTGCACCTTTCGGTGGCCAGCCCTGTGCTTCCAGGTGCCCTTCAGAGTCCTGGAGCGCTGGGCGGACCACGGTTCCAGCAGAAAAATCTCATCCATTTGGGGATTTCTATGGATTTCTCATTCGAGACCCAAACCACCAAAAGATCACCGGCATTGGTCAGTTTTTGTCAGATTTTGTCAGTTTTTGTATCCCCAAGTTCGAGAAACAGCCACTTGGAGATTCATGAAAACGAGGCATTTCTGGAATTCAATGTCGTGGTGACATCTCCTCGAATTTGGTGTCCATTGTGTAGATTGGCCGTGGAAGTAGAGCATACTGATCATTGGCCTTGGCAAAGGTTCCAGTACCGTTACCGTTACCGTTTACGGTCTGATGTTTGCAACTCACAGCCTTCACACAGGATGGGGCCCCCAAGATAGCGTTCAGTTGCCTTATTTCAGTGGCTTTATGGTAGATATATGTAGATATAACGAACTAGTTAATAGGGCTTATTTCTTATGGTTTATAAACCCACTTAGCCATCACTGGTTTTCCCCATCCTGCAGCCTTCACTGGCCTTATTTCCCCCAGTGACTCCAGTGGCTCCAGTGGCTCCAGTGGCTCCAGGCAGCATCATCCGTATCCATGTTGGCGACATCCTCAAAGCTTCGATGGCTTCGCTGGGCCTCTTTCGCCACAAGCTCCACCGCCCTGGACGCAAAATCGAAACGATTCCGTTGTGGAGAAGTTTCCATGCAGAATTTCCATGGGAAAATCCCATTGATTATGAACCAACTATTGAGAAAGGGATAATTATAGATAATTATGGTAATATTATGGTAATATTATGGTAATTATGGTAATTATGATAATTATGATGATTATGGGTTCCCCATGAATTCCCCATTCATTCCCCATTATTTCCCTATGATTTTCTCATGATTTCCCCATTAATTCACACGGAAGCTCTGGACCTGTCGTCTGCTTCTTTGGCAGCGTCAGCATCTAGCCACTCCTGAGGCACTTGAGCTTCACCTCATGTCCAGATTCTCAGCCATGGGTAACCATGGGACGGCATGGGTCTGCGAGAAATGGTGCCACATGGTGCACTTTGCCAGTGATGTTGATCTGTACGGATGTGATATGATGTGTAATGTGATGTCTGATATGAATTGATATGACAGTATGACTCAGTATGACTCAGTATGACTCAGTATGACTCAGTATGACTCAGTATGACTCAGTATGACTCAGTATGACTCAGTATGACTCAGTATGACTCAGTATGACTCAGTATGACTGGTATGATGTGTGACATCATGTGATCCAATATGATCCAATCTAAAATATTCTAAAATATTCCATCATGACCATCATGGCCACGAAAAACCGTTTCAAAACGAAAAACCATGGAGCGAACGAAAAACCATGGCCTCCTCCTCCACCAAGACCTGGCCAAGCCGCGTGACATTGACGTGACATTTCTTCGACCCATGAATTAACAAATGAATTAACATATATCAAATCATATCAAATCTGATATCAATCAATGGGCAGAATGAATAAATCCATTGAGTTGAATTCCCAAAGGTATTCTTGGATTCTTAGAGTTTGGACGCTTCTCCACGATTTTTAGAATCCTGGCTATGTTGGTGCCTCCACTTCCGCCACTTCCGCCACTTCCGCCAGTTCCCCCATTTGCTCCGTTCGCTCCACCAAATCCTGCACCGGAACTTCCAACCTGCAGGTGACCAATGTTCCCTGGGGGTTCGACAAGACAGATATCAAAAGTGCTGCAGAATCACCCTGTATTAACGTACATGTATTAACCACTATTGAATCAACATATATCAAGCGTTGAAGCCTTGTTAATTGGGTCCATTGATAGATATTTATAGTAACCCCCAAAACAAAGTAGAAAAGGATTCGAACGTTATTTTAATGGAATATTTTATGATATTTTGGTTTCTATATTTTTGGAGGGAATTGCTATAGAAATGTTGGCGGGCCGATTTGCTTCCGAGCTACGCCACCTTCGCCGCCCTGGCCACCTCTCGAGGGCAAGAGCCATGGTCAATGCGTTCAATCAAGGCATTTTTCAACCTGTCTATTCTATAATTGTATATGTATGTTACTTATATATAATATATATAATATATATATACAATATATATATATACATATGTATTGTGTATAGTTTAGCATAAGTTATTATATTGTGCAAATTATATATGATAATTATATGATATATTCAAATATGTCAATATGTTTCTCAGATTTCCGGTGTGGTCTCCAAACCTCACAAACATCCGGATCTTTTCTCGACACTTCAGCGAAAGGGGGCAGTACCACACGATTGAAGCCATGTCTGGATATGTCTGGTGCAAATCTACAAGTGCTGATAGAATAAATGGATAGATTATGATAGATTTATGGGGAAAAAAACATGGAAAAACTAGAGGAAAGCATGGTTTTTACATGGTTTTACAATTTTTTACCATCAAATATAGGGTGTTCCTGTAAACTTTCTCTTAAACCAATCCATTGTAGGGACACGGACCATGTGTCACCTGGTGGACCCCCTGGCCCCCAGGTCCCCAGCCTGGAAAGGCAACGCCCACTGAGCCACTCCCGCTGGCACCACTGAAGCCTGGCGTGTCTAGTCTTCATATTGATGGAATTTGAGACGTAAATTATTCATCAATAAAGAGTCAAATATTATTTCAATAAGAGTTGTTAAAAGGTGTTTAGTTGTTATCTAGGAGAAATGATCTTTCTTTGTATCTTGGGAAAGGAGAAATCCATGGCATCGCAAGATTCCCGCCATGTCGAAGCTGCCTGGGCCTTCGTTCTCAGGCGGCGGCCCGATAGCAAAGCCTGTCACCAAATCTGGATGCCAAGTGGAATAGACAAGTCTGTCTAATATGATCCAAGTGATTTCACCAAGTGGTTTGAATCACTTTGGAATAGAAGACCCGCCACAACCCACAATGCCATGACAATGCCATGACAATGCCATGACAATGCCATGATCATCATGAGCTTTGGTGCAGAATTTAGCACCTGCGCCATCACCGAGTCGACAACCGTCTTTGCATTTGGCCTGGACGGGGTGATGGGGTGCCAGGTGCTGCACGTGAAACCGTGATAAACCGTGGCTCCATGGCTAGCTTCGCAACACAAACTGCTGCACTAAGCTGCACTAAGCTGCACTAAGCTGCACTAAGCTGCACTAAGCTGCACTAAGCTGCACTAAGCTGCACTAAGCTGCACTATGTCACTATATTTGTTTGCTACAAGGTGGCTACAAGGTTTCAATAGGCTTCAATAGGTTTCAATAGGTTTCAATAGGTTTCAATAGGTTTCAATAGGTTTCAATAGGTTTCAATAGGTTTCAATAGGTTTCAATAGGTTTCAATAGGTTTCAATAGGTTTCAATGGGTCCGCTTAGGATGGACTAGGTGAGCATGTTTGAACACACAGACCTAACTGAAATCCCAGAGCTACGCAGCTACGCCTCCCACAGTTCAAAAACAACGTCACAGTTCAAAATGTGGCTCTTGTACACTCAGAACCAGCTGGTGTCCCCAAACTGATCATTGCACAAGCATTCAGCCTCAGCTGCAGTGACATTACATCTTTCTGCCACTGAAAACCTGCATGATCTTTTCTACAAACTCTAAAATTCTCACAATTTCACACAACACTACCATGACCATTCGTGACCATCCGTGACCATCCGTGACCTTGTCGGTCTTGCCGATATCATTGATCTTCATGGCTTCATCTTCGCCAGACTGCGTCAATTGGCGACGGCGGCGACGGCGGGGGGCCATGCTTCGAGTTTCCGCAGTTTCAGCCGTTCATGGCCTGTTCACTTCCAACTTTGGCTAAGGCCTTTTGCGAACCTTCGGTGGCATCCTGTGTCGGAGAATTTCGATGTGGACACGTGCAGTGACCAAAAATAACGTGAACATGGTTCCCCAAAAAATGATTCCCTGTGAAATCCTGTGAAAGTCATGAGAAGAGAAATTCTGTGAAAGTCAAATACAATGTATGTATATACATTAAATATGTGTATATAGACATATTATATATATATGTATATATATATATGGTTTAAAATCTATATATATATATACATATATATATAATTATATATATATACATATTATATATATATGGTTTAAACTATTTATATACAACCATCTCTATTGACAAACGGGTATCCCCAATTGTAGTTCGATCCCTGTCCTGCGAAAGCTGATCCACCTGACTGTCCATCTCATCGTTTCCTTCCTGGTCCTCCAGAATTCTGCCATGCAAAAATGTGCTTCATTGGTCAGGTTCTCTTGGACATGGACAACTTCCGAAACACTTTTGGCAAACCAAAAAAAGGAATTCCCTGTTGCACAGAATCCTGGGACATCGATGATGCAGAACCAAAGTAGGAACAGGGCTGTCTCAAGACTATACTTCTTACTGTCAAAACTTTGAAAAAAACATTCAAGTAGGAATCGTGGCTTGTTCAGAAGTTACGAACCACAACACTGTGCCTCACCTTTCTCCGTCTGCAAATACAATCAGGACTAGATCAGAACGATGCGGGGCCTGCGACTTCTTGTAGGCATCGGTGTACTCGTCCTGAGCTCTCTGAACTCTTGGCATCATCTTGATACACAAAAGAATATGGCAGAGAATCAGATCTTCATCCGGAACCCCAAAAAAAAACACAAACCATGAACCGACTATACCGATTTCATTTTGAGATATGTTGATGGTATCTTGTTGGAGGAGTTTGTTGTTTTGTGAATATTGGGCGCCATCGGGCGCCAAACCAATTTAGATGATTTTGATCTGAGACTCGAATGCACTTGGCCGTCTCAACTTCAAGCTCGGCCAGTGATGGTTGAAGATGGAATGGATCGTCTGCAGCGCTGAGGACATACCCAGGAGCAACGTTTTAAGTACGAGCAAAACCCTTCCGGTTGAAAGGAACCTTGGCCACAGATGGCCAAAGCTAGTTGATTGCTCAGCCGTTACGAGTCTAGCCTCAGCTCGTCCAAGTCTGACAAAATGACAGGACTGTGTATATGAAGCACCCTCGCACCCTCGCCTGCAAATCCGCGATGCTTCTTCCATGCACCATTGCTAAGCCAAACAAACCAGAATGAGAAGCGCCTATGGTTCCCACTAGCCGAGTGTTGCTAAAACATCTCTGGTGAGAAGCAAATATCTCATCGTCTCATCAACAAAAGTTTGTTATTGCCTTGCCATTTACTCCACTGCTTTTGGATGATGCTGGCACAGTTGCATTTGCCCTTTGTCTGATCACCAGTTGGTCTATTCGTAATTCCTAACGGCAGTGCTTCTGGTGCATCACGGTGATGCCCCTCAACATAGTGGAAAGCTGGAACGCTGGGACCCTGGAACTCTGCTTTTGGGTTTCGCTGGATCTCTTGAAGCCTAAGCTCAGCTAAACCATGGAAGATGGATTGGGCGGCGAAGGATGGGGTACTTATCCAAGTCGTGCCACGGGATTGTAGCGATGCTGAAGTCTGCAACCCCAGAGGCTATGGCGGTCTATGGCGGTCTTCCAAAATGAAGAATCTTGTAGAATCTCAATCTTCAATCCAGGTGCCGGGTTCATTTTCTTGCGGCGGAATCTACATTCCTTCCCAAGAGATCTCACCTGGCGGGGTTGGATTGTCGGCGCAAAGCAGGCATCACATGACCGGTCTGACCGTCTAGGGTGCCCAGGATGCCCGGGATGCCCACTAAATATCACAGAAAATCGAACCCCGACCTCCGGAGGCAAATGCCGTCGGCTGCCTGAGGAAAAAACACCGGTGTACACATGCTGGATCTTATCATCGGATGCCGATCGATGCCTAAGATAAAAAAGATCAAGGAATGGAGGAGCTTCAAAACTACTCAACAGCCACTGTGCTTCAGCGCAGCTCAGCGCAGCTGTCTGATTTTCAGTTTTCAGATAGTTTGTCGCCATTTTGGACCAAAGAAATCAACTCCTGGTTCAGAATGTCAAAATACATCCGACATCAGACCTGTTTTGGATCCTGGTCCAACATGTTCCATGCGCCTCCCCGCGGTGAGCTGCAAGCCATCTTCTTGCACCTGGCAAGGTTGGAATCGTCATGCAACACATCACCAAAAAAATGGTGGATCTAACTGATCTAACCAATTGTCAGAATCTTGAATGGTTCATGTTTAGATCATGCTAGATTCTTAGATCCTCAGTTTTGGTCATGATCATTTTGCTGATCCACATCTTTACGTATCCATCTAAGAATGTTGCATGATCATGCCATGATTATGGATGAACCTTGACCAGCCCCCAGCGAGCGAGGCCTCAGGAGGGCAACATTGCAAGTTTAATGGGGATGATGATGATAGACCGTGATAAACCATGGGATAAACCATGGGATAAAGGATGTGACTGGGGGGTGGCACCTACTTTCAGAGAAACCCATACAGAGACACCTTGCAGCTCTTGCAATGTCACTTGTGGAAATGAAAGTTCTGATTGTAGGCCTTGTAGGCTCAACGAAAACAAGAGAGTTCAAGTATGTTCAAGTTGAATCTGCGATCTGCGAATCTCACCGGGATGATTTCGCAACGTTAAAGCCCGTTTTCATTTTTGTGTCAAAGGTTCGGTTCGGACTTGGTACGAAATCATACGAAAACATACGAGCACTTTTCTATGCCCTCCGTGGCTACCGTACACTTTCTCTGGCAGTCTTCGTTGGAAGAGATTATTGGAAACTCAAACAAAACACCAAGACATAAAACTAAGTACGGTAGGACAAAGTAAGACCGAGTAAGATAAGACTAAGTAAGATATAGCTGGACAGAAGATAAAACCTCAAAAGCCCCATTTGAAAACAACTGACTACCATCCACAGCACAGATTTCTCTGCAAGTGACGATCATAGGCCTCTTCGAGGTCTGGGCCTCAGTTTCGACCCGTCGGTGTTGATTTGTTCCCCGTTGGCTCATCGATTTTGAGTGCCATGCTGATCCCTGCCTCAGGCAAATCCACCTACAACGATTGACGCATGGGATGTGGAATCTCAATAAATGCAGAAAGTACCGTATGCAATGGCATTAATTTCTGCAATGGTAATACGTCGTTTTGCAGGATCCAACAGGTCCCAGCAACGCACTGTGGATTCTCCAGCTGCAGTCCCCCCAATGGCATTGACAGCAGTCGCATGTCGCATCATGTAGCCACATGGAAAAGGCATGAAATGACTTCGTAAAACAATGTAAAACAGCACTACAAATCTAAGCAAACATCATGAAAGCAGCACATTAACAGCCCATCCACAAGTCCCGCTCTTACACCATACACTTAAGAAACTGTACAAGGCACCCGTCTTTGCTGCATGGCCTCGTTGACAAGTTGGCGAACGACTTCTGCACCACGCCAACTAAGCTCCTACAAATGCCAGATGACCTGACTCACATGTATAGTAATATTTATTGCAGTCCAACCTCCGAAACCAACCTGCCGTCAATGTGAAAGATGCAAAGAACATGCCATTATTGGATTGCCTCGTCCCTGACCATCCTCAATAAACCAGCACTGTTATCTTCCAGACTCAAAAAAAATCACCTAGACTGCCTAGACTCAAAAAAAATACGAGGATTCTTTCTCTGAGGATCTCTCAAGGCATCAGAATTATCCTCTGAATCACTTGAACTGGCTGTCCTCGCGGCCGATGATTGGAGACTCCTCCGGCCTCAAGGTCGATGACTGTCTCACGTTCTTGGCATGTCGGTGCTGTGCTTCGCCAATTTCACAGCGGATCTTGGGATTGGGGGCTTTTGGATTTTGCATGATTTTGCTGTATTTTCAACGCACGGAAGGACACAGATTTGTTGGTTTCATTTGGCCTTCAAACGATGGGAAGCGAAGGTACAAAGCACTGGAAATGACCTATGAAAGATTTTTAAAGATTTTGAAGCCTGACGACCTGTCATAAACCCCTCCAGAATCATGTCTTCAGGACCTTCGCTCATACTGTTGGACGATGTTGGACGCTGTACACCGGGAACTCTGCCCAAAGTTGAGCGGCAACATCTCTGAGTGTCACTTGACATTTCTTTGCTCAGCCAATTTGCCGGTTGCCTGATAACATCTGATAACATCTGATAACTATATACAGCATGCTACGAATTCCTCGCCATAAAGCCATTGACAGAACTACAGTTTGAACTAAGCCGTCTCCTACTTTCTCAGGTTCGTCAGATCAAACAAACGAAAGGTGGAGTCGAGTCCAGTCAAGTTCATCGATGCCTTTTGCGCATGTAAAAAAAAACTCAATCCTTACCCCGTTCATCCTTTATCATCCTTTAAGGATTATGACAAGTACCATTCCATGTGTTCCAAGCCAGAAATGTCCAGAAGTTTGATGGACTTGGTATGACTTTGTGGCTTGCAGTTGCAGGGCAGTTGCAGGGCAGCTACAGCTCTTGCGGGGAGTTTTTCATCTTGCTGCTGTCCCCCGCAAAGACGGTGGCAGACCTTTGCCGCATGCAGATGTGAAAAAGCAGTGTACAAAATCAAGCAATATCAAACAATACATATCAGGCAAATATGATAAGCAATCCATCCACTTTTCAACTTGAACCTGTGGAACCCTTGCAGCATATTGCAATTTAGCCATCGTTCACATGTGCATCCTGAGCTGCGCAAAGTCGCCATAGACCATGGCACCCCCAGTGTTCTCAATCAAAGCCTTGCCACCAGGCGCTGTGCGGGTTTTGGCAAACTGTCAGCCACGGAAAGGTCGAGATGTGATGTACTATGATGTACTACAATACTGTGAGCAAACCCATTGCTCAAGAAATAAATGGATGACAAAGCTGCTGAAATCCCTTGACAAATGGATACAAATGGTCGACAAATGGTTTTAAGTTTGACAGAAAGGCAAGGGATGCGTTTCACGCAAGCGCGCACACTCACATCTGCCGCGCTTCTGAAGCTGGCAAGATTAGGCCGACAAAACAAGGGCAGAGCAAGTTTCATCAAGTTTCGATAAATATCCTATACACAAATTAGAGACTTTTGCGTAAAATGTTGGATGCATGTGCCCACATTGTCACATTGTGCATATTGTGCCTTGAGCTTGTATTTTGAGCTCCCAACATTCGATTCCAAATATTGCAACAGCTCCTGACCGCTCAAAGGAGAAAAGCCATTCCTCAGCTGCTGTGAAGGTCTGTAAAGTATCTTACTAAGAAGATGAACAAGTCGCTTGCAAAGAAACCTGAGTATCATGAATATCAAGAGTACTGAGCCAGAAAATTCACCAAAATCCACCAAAATCCAGGATGAGTTGGGTCAGCACCAAGGAGAACGCTTCACGGTGTTCTGGATGCTGGTCAATGCCTCTGCTCTGGCCTCACAGTCTGATTGTAATCACACCGTCTTTCACCATGTTTCACCATCCTTCGCCCTAAAGTCAGTGATCATTTGCCTAAAATGTTGGGACATCGGTTTCCTGCCTGTTGCATGTTGTACTCAGCATCAGCTTTTGCCTGTAGATCACTGATGCTCAAGACTCCCAAAGGGGGCATTGGGTTGAGTCATGCAAGTCAGCTGCAAGTCAGCATGGAACTGGATGGAACTGCATGGAACTGGCCTTTTTGGTGATGTTCACAGCTGCTGCATCTGCCTCAACGTTCACGATCTTCACCTGCCTGGCACACTGCCATGGCGCTGCCATGGCTCAGCACATCGCCCCATCGGCCCATCGCATGCCGCGCCTGTCGAAGTCGGCCTCTAGCACCGTGGTCTTTGCACGGATCAAAGATGCCTCCGAAAGGTTGTGCCGCCGTGGCCATAGCCGTGGCCATCTTTGCACATGTCGTTTAGTAAATCCACAAGAAGAGTGCCGGTCTGAAATCGCAGAATATTCCAATAACATATAATAACATATAATAGCATACAATAACATATAATAACATGTACATATAATAACATATAATAACATATTTAATAGCATATGATAACATATCATATAACCAATGTCATGCCAATATTATAGATTATTGGCATCTTTGTTGCAGATGTTTGGTGTTTTTCCCTTCTCCGCCTTTGTTTCCAGGCTTCCTGACGATCGCAACCACGTCCCACCTTCTGTTTCATGGACTCAGTGGCCTGTTTTTGCATCTCTACCTGGCCACTTCAGGACCAAATTGAGACAGATCCAAAAGTGATCCAAATAGATTCAGTTTGATTCAGTTTGATTGTATTTTGATTCAGGTTGCTGTTGCAGTCACTATGATTCAAGATATTCAAGGCAGTTGGGAGTTGGGATTAGTTGGGATACCCCCCAAACCGCCTGCTGTCGCACATTGGCTGTCTCGATCCTGGGACACAAGACCAAACCATTCACGAAGCTGTGCCCGTGCCCGACGCCCATGCCCCACCTGTCATCGAAGCTGACGGTTAGAAGCTGTATTCCCCAGCAAGTCAGAAAACCTTGCAAGTTCTGCTCACACACCTGGGAAAGCCAGTTTGGCAAATTTAGACAACCCCAACCCGCAAAGTGGTTGAATATATTCTGATGGCTTTGAAGGACTCATGGAGAGAAAGAAAACTCCTGCCACCAAAAGTCGATACAAAATCAAGCAACAAATTGCCAAAAAGCATCCAAAATCTAGACACTGGATGTCACTGGCATCATTGGCATCATTGGCACATTTGTCCATGCTCCAACCATCCAACCATCCAACCATCCAACCATCCAACCATCCAACCATCCAACCTGCGTACAGGTGGTTTTCAGGCTCTTAGCCACCTGGGCCATCGCCATCATACGACATGCCACGGTGACATCGCTGCCAGGCCTCTGGTCTCTGCGTGTAGAGCTCGGTGGCTTTATAATTCGCAATGGTGGCCTACAACGACCGGTGAAACGGGCGGGGTTTCACTGGAGCATTTCAGACTAAAACCAAAGATCAAAGGGATCCAATCGGATCAAAGATCTTTGATCCCTTTGTCATCTTTGTCAATATCATTCCAAAGCGAAAGAGGGGGCATCTCTGCTTTTTAAGTGGAGTTCACAGGGTGGCGCATTCTGGAGACCTCCACAAAGCTTGTGCCTGAAGTGCACTGCGAAGATTTGAAATAAAGAAACCTTCATAGTCGGTCTTGTACCTGGATAGACTCCACCAGCGCATAATTGATCATAATTGTGCAACCAGCTGCATGTGTGTTTGTAATTCCATCCAATTTCTACCACCCAGTTTGTACGGGTCCCATCTGAAAGCTGGACACATTTCTGCAACATGTGCCACTCCACACAGTGCAACATGTGCAACACACCGTCGCACGTTTGGTAAATCTCCGGAATCTTGTCTCGCACAACTTGGTATTGTGCAACCTCGATCAATCCGATCAATCCGATCGATCCGATCGATCCGATCAAGCGCAGCACCGCTCCACGAGACACTGAGCAGCGGACCATCCCAAGTTCCACCATAAGCCCGTCCTGCCACTTCGTGCTGTGGGGAGAGGATGGAAGAGGGACTCTGGGACTCTAAATACTCCAATTAAATATATAATTAAATCATACATATTCCAGGAAATTCCATCACGCTGGAGTTCTAAAGTCGTAGAAGCAGTTCCAGTTCCATCTCTAATGAATATCCTTGCCAAATGCGTGTTTATGCGCGACCATTTATACACACTATACATGTGATATGTAGTAATCAAGTGAGCAGTGCTCAAAACCCTTTTTTGTCCCTTCGTGCTGGTTGTTTGATAGCAATTGTTTTTCTGCACTGTATATTGGATGACAGAACCCCTTACAATTAATCATCAATTAATCATCAATCAGCACGGTTTTTGAACACTGCCCAAGTGATCACTCAAAGTTCCAGGACCTTTTTTATTCCCCCCAAAAAAAGGGTGAAACCATCCCGGATCCCGACCATCCCTCTAGATAACAGGCCCCACTTTTCTCATATTTTTCGGGTTTTCCCACGTTGCACGTTGCGTCCGCAGGGTCCGCGGTTCGGACGTTCATGGGGGACAGGTCGCGGGTTTTATGCTGTCTGGGTGGCCCTGGAAGCCATTCGATGGACCTCGGATCTCGAGATCAGCTCCGCCAACGGCCTGATGTGATCTGACCACCTTCAGCACTGCATTGGACATATTGAATCATATTGAAATATTATGAATTATTGACATATTGATACATATTGTGCTCAAATAGTCCGGTGATAGTCTTATAGGACTCATTAGGACTCATAAGTCCAAGTGTTCTAGAGTAGACATTATGGGCATCCAAGTTTTTGCCAGCACTGACTTGTTTTATCTTTTTTCCATGGTATAGGTGACGCAATTTCGGATTGGGCCAGGGGCCGGGATTGCGCCTGTGCTAAGCTGGGCACTGGATCGTGGCAGGGAAGATGAGGTAATCATTCCAAAAACCTTCGGACGCCGCATGGTACACATGGTGTTGCCAAGCTTCTGAACCACGCAAAAGAGATGAAACTTCCGACTGATATAGTCTGAGTCGGGTTACAGATTGTGCCAGCAAAAAAAATGTGGATTCAGGAGATTCTCTCTTCATTAATTAATGTTAATATTACATTGGTTAAATATGGTTAAATCATGCTAAATCCGTCAGACACGCTGAGGTCTCGAGCAGCTGAGGTCTCAACCAATGAAATTTCGACCACCGTGGTATGTGCTGCCGAAGCTTACTACGCCAGTCGCCTCCACGAAACCAATGACGTGTCCCAAAATCGCCAAAATGGAGGTACCCGAACATACCCCAACCATTCAGTCCCTACAGTCCCTGTATTCAATTGAACCACTTCGTTGGATTTGGGTAGACATTTCAAAAGGGCTCAACTTATTGTAATCTATCTATATCTATCTATAATATGTTATAATTTTAATCTACATTGATTGATTGATTGCCAATTGATTGCATCATTTCTCAGCAACTTTGAGCTCCTGGCGGAGTTGCGAAGGATCCCGAACTCCGTCGCATGCAAACCTGCGCGACCACAGTGGAGACGGTGCCCCGGGCCGAACCCCGGGCCACCCCTTTCACTAGTGCCTTTGAAGGAGGTCAAGAGCCTTGAAGGGAAACATGGACCATCAAGCGATTCATCAAGCTGTACATGCGCTGTACATGCCACTATTATCCACTGCCCATACTGAAAGCATCTGTCTGAATTCCTTTGGACATAGGAAGCTTTTCACTTGTCTCCTGTCAGTTGAAAACATAGGATTGGTTGGTTTATGTCATGTGCAGGGTGTCCCCAAGCTTTCACAGACAAGGTGCATCACCAGCAATGTCAGGGCTACGCAACATCCGCATCCAGCTCCAAATTTGCCAGCAGTGCTTTGGCAAATCGAGTCCATATCTCAGGAAATCATAGGGTGACTGTCAAACATTGTCAAACTGTACTGGAAACGAAGGCATCATGTGGATACGTGGGTAGCTTGAAAAATGAACAGGAGAGCTGCTTGCGAAATCTTGCGAAGGTCTGAATCCAGCAACAAAAGGTCATCAGCTCTGCCAGATCTGGTTATTTTTCAAAGAGCTTTTGATGGTCTTTCCGCGTCCTCTGGATGAATGAGATCTTCCAATTCAAGTTTCAGATATACCTTTCCAGACTTCAATTCTACATGGATCATCTTGAAATCATCTTGAAATCAAGTTGAAATCATGTCCAGAAAGGTCTGCCCTGCTTGTTCTGCCGGGGCACCGAAGTGGAACCGCGTCTGGGCCGAGGCCGTAGAGACGACGTCGATCTCGTCCTCTTCGTCCCGGGCCAAGCGACTGACGCCCCAGGCGCCACCAGATCCCCCCAGTGGCACCCCACCGGGGCGATAGCTCCTGTCGCCAGGAAAAGGATGGGAATGTTGATGTCAATATATACATTTGATACATGTGTATACATATATTATAATGTAATTATATGTAATTATGTGTAATTATATGTAATTATATAATTCTATACACATAATTTAGAAATATAATGTACTTATATTATTTTATACACATAATTTAGATATATATATATAATGTAGTTATATAATTTATAGACAAAATTTATGTGTATATATATACATATGATACATGTGTATATATATATATTATAATGTAATTATATGTAATTATTTGTAATTATATGTAATTTTATGTAATTGTATAATTCTATACACATAATTTAGAAATTGTATTATTTTATACACATAATTTAGATATATATATATAATGTAGTTATATAATTTATAGACAAAATTTATGTATATATATTTACATATGATACATGTGTATATATATATATTATAATGTAATTATATGTAATTATATGTAATTATATAATTCTATACACATAATTTAGAAATATAATGTACTTATTATATTATTTTATACACCTAATTTATATATATATAATGTAGTTATATAATTTATAAACAAAATTTATGTGTATATATATATACATGTGTATATATGCATATAGTTTTATATACATTGTTATACATTATATGTGTACATATCATACATGTGTATTTACATATATATATATATCCATGAATTACATGGAATCTATGATATGGTTTGATATGGTCTATATGTTTTTGCCCGGTGATATAGTGTAATATGTAGTAACTAAGGATGACATGCCGGGTGTAGAGGCTCAAATGGAAAATCGCAACTCCAGGGTTTGATCATGGAGTTATGAGTGAGTTATGATATGCTATGATTGGGTTTTTGATGGTTTTTGTATCATTGGTTTGTGCGGAAGGCTGGAATTGGAGCCAAGCTGCATTCCCGGCAGTCCGAGACTTCAATCTGATCCTGGCCTGTTCACCAGCACGAAATTTTCTGCTTTCCAAATGTTCCAAGAGTTTCGCCTAGACTATGGTAGGATATGACTTTAAAATGGCCTTGGCACACACCTGCACGTGCACTGGGATTGCTGAGAGCCAACCAGCTGCAGGTGTACTGTGAGTGACATCGACGAAAGCCGAGTCGATACAAAACCGCCCAGTCCAGTGAGGTCTCAGTCGATCAGTCGGTCTCAGTCATGTGCCGCTCCGAAGAGGCAACCAGTAGAGACCAGTATGCAAGGGCCTTCAGAGATGTGAGAAAAACTGACAAGAATCTGTACATAATCAAGAAAGTCATAGAAAGTCTCAAGGTCTCTGGGATGCTGAAATCATCTGAAACCGCTTTCTCAGTGCAGGACACACTCTGAGAAGACCTGTGCTTCAGCAGAATCTGGCAACAGCCGAATCAAAGCAGCATCCTGAGCGCAACGGCACAACGGCCACAGAAAAGAGAAGCTTCAAACTTAGCAAAGCTCATCTCATTGTGGCAGAGGGGCAGCAGCTACAATGAAACCTGACCTGATTTGAAGCCTCGAACAGAGTGGCAATGGCCTTGTCCAAGCAGTGGTCGAAGAGCATCGAAGCGATCCGAGATTTCCTTGGCGCCGAGCGAACACGGCTGCTGCATGCTGCCAGGTAACAACTGGCCATTGCTGAGGTCAGGTCGAACCAACCTTCACTCCTCGGCATGCAGCAATCCCAGCGATCCCAGCGATCCCAGCAATCCCAGCGATCTCCACGCCAAGCGACTCCGATAGTTGGCATAGGTGCGGGCACTCAAAAGAACCACCGGCACCTGTGATGGTAGATGCAGACATTTGCAGATCCATAAACCTTTGTCCAAAACAGGGTACCACAAAATCGAAAATCATCCCATTTCTGATCTAACCCATCAAACTCATGGCATTGCAGGGCATTGCAGCTGAGGCTCTACTGCCAGCCACCTGGGGACGCAAAATACGTTAAAATCATGCATGGTCATTGTGTCACGGCAAGTGGAATAGAGAATAGATACATTGCAAAAGAAAACGAAGCAAAAAGGCCACTGAAAACTTCACATGGAATCCCAACATTTTGGCTTTACAACGCATTGCGATGCCTTTCAAAGGCTGACATAGCCTTTCCATGCGCATGAGCACGTTCGAGTATGTTCGAGCATGTTCGAGCCAAGAGACTTATTGGTGTTCGCCAGAATGTGGGAAAATACGCTGAGAAGGCCCACCATTGTGAGGAGATCTACCCTGGCAGATCCAACGAGATCCAAGCAGTCAACATCTCAATGCCACAGTGATCCACAGTGATCCACAGTGATCCACAGTGCATGGCATCACATGCAGAGATCGATATAGATAAACTATGATAAACTGTTGGGAGATGAAAGTGTAGACAGTGTAGACAGAACGGTTACAACAAAAGGATATTCAAAAGGGTCGTTTGAACCACTTTTGATCTTTCGATTGACAGCTGGCAGCCCTTTGCCAAGCCTGATCATGTCCAATGGTCTACCACGCACTCGCCATGCTTCTTGCGGCATCACTAGTTTTATGTCCTTGCATACAAGCTATCGCAACTTTGGTATTTCGGGCGCATGACTTTTAGAGTGGCTTTGCTTTCATCGTCTTCCATCTCTGTTGTGTTTCAAGATTCTGGGGAACCCTTTCAACATAACAAATGGTCTACTCCCAAACTGCAGACCCTGTGGACCTTTGACCGTGGTCCCCCTTCCATGCAAGACCTTGATTGCTCTCTTTCACCATCATCGATTTGCGCGGGGTGTGACTGCTCTGCCGAATCGTCTGCATTCCAATTTCAATGGTCCTCTCTTCCGAGCCTCTGTAATCTTTGCATCTTACTTACCTCAATCCTCTCCAGTGACAGGAATAATTCACAATAAATAGTATATATATATGTATGTATAATATGTATACATGATATATATATATATGTATAATATATATATATATTATACATATATATATATATTATGTATACATATTATACATACATATATATATATAATATACATATTCATATAATATATAACATGATGGTGCGCCGGGGGTTGCCTAACCAGCGGGGAGCTCCTTCATGGCCACTTCAAAGAACCGCCGGACGCAAATCTGTCGCCGTGGCGGGGGCTGGTAGTCTGAGTCTGTATCGCCCTTCAAGCGATAGGCCACCAGGATTTCCTGGCCACAACAAACCTGCCACAAATCCAATGTTGGAGATAGTCATTGGATATACTTGGATAACATTATATAGTGATCCACAAAAGTTCGAACTGATAATGAGGAAAGTCAAGTCTCAGAGTGTATACTGCCGAACTGTGACAACTCCAAAGAACTCCGGCCTGAAATTGCGGCTCCTGCAACTCAGCATGCTGAAGCAACGTGGTCAAGTTAAAGGAAGTCACGTGCTCCACGGCCACTCGCTCCAAAAAGTTGCCTGCATGGCCAAAAATGCATTGGCACAAGCCACAAGAGACCAAGCAGATAGACTGGATCCCTGCTTATGTGACATCATGTCATGTTTGCTGGGGATCATCTCACAAAATGGTCAATCACGTTCAATCTGACTAATCATGATTCATCTGCCTGAATTTGCATTTCCAGTATTAAAAAAAACTAAAATGATCTGAATCAGCTGAAATCAGCTGAAGCGCAACAGGCATTGTTTCACCCAACCGCCGCCCAGGCCCCGCCCCGCGGCCCCGGAGGGAAACCGGTCCTTGCTCTTTGGCGGCTTTCCACACTTCCGCGGTCACCGGCAGGTGGCGACTTTGGCCACGGAGGGCGACCTCCCCATGTGTTTCCACCGGTTTCCGGTGTCCATCACGGAGAACTGGGAGTGGAAAATCTATGAATCATATGGAAACATATGGAAACATATGGAAACATAGTGGTTGAAAATCTATGGAATCATTATGAAACATATGGAAACGAACCAGAAAACTTTGGAAAGTGGAAAACCGATGGCGCCTCTTGCTCCCAGGCACGAGCCAAGCGCTTGATGAGAGCTGCACGTTCGGTGGACCACCGCTCATTTAAGACATCTCCAAAGAGCCACTGAGCATAGCCTCACCATGTTTTCCCCACTTAAAAGGGAGGGGAATTCGGAAGTCCTACAGATGTTCCCTTCCAGTTTCCTCGGAATTTCTGGGAGAATGACCAAAAATAACCAAAAGATACCCAAAGAATTCAAGAAAAATCAAAGATGCAATCAACGCAATCAATGAAGCGTCTGGCGATCCACCATGGTACGATAAGAGCTTGGTTGAAGGCGACGCAAGACTTGCATTCCAGAGATGCCTCGATGCTCTGCTGGATGACCCGAAAGTGTCTTTGGAACTGCGGGGAAAAGACCGGAAAAAAAACTGGTCTCAAGTAGTCTCAAGATCACCACATATCAAATGAGGTTGGCTTCAATAGTCGAAAAATAGGGATGTTCCATGATTTTCCATGATTTTCCTTGGATATTGAGGAGTTGAAAGGACGATTTTGGCAACGGAATGTCGTCATTTCCCAGCGCCCAGTGACGCATTCGAATGCTGCGACCAGCTTCCCAAAGCTGTTTCGCCAAGTGCACCCCACGTGTCGCCGCCGCCTTCAATCGCCTGATCCCGACACCGTGGTGATCTCCCGTGGTCATCTTAAACACTCCCTATATGAATGGCCCCGAAGATCTCCGAAGATCTGTAAATCCTCTACAAAATCCTATAAAATCCTATAAATCCTCTATGAAAAAACATGAGTAAACCATATTAAACCATGTTTTCTGCGGGACGTTTAATATTGAGGGGAAGGGATTAGATGGTTGGACCGTTGGACCGTTGGACCTTTGCCATGATGGAACATCATCTCCAGCTACGTATGAATATGCCTAACTTTAGCTTATCAGCATTTATGGACTGATCAAGACTGATCCATCCTGAAATATCCAGACTCTATTTCTGACAGGTTCACATAATGACAAAATGTGTAACCTCAAAATCCCATGGTGTGTCATGGTGTGTCATGGTGTGTCATGGTGTGTCATGGTGTGTCATGGTGTGCTATCATTTTCCATCTTCACATTGCCATCATATTTCCTTAGGAATCCTTAACTTGTCTCATTGGTTAAATCCCCGTGTCCCGTAGCACGTAGCCTCGTATTACTCGTATGCCTCGTTTTTCCCAACGATCCAAACGATCCAAACGCCTGAGCCTTTGCTGCAAGGCCTTGCCGCGGGGCGACTCTGCCCAGCCCCTGCAAGCGACTTTCGATGGATCCAACATGATCCAGCATGATCCAACATGATCCAACATGATCCAACATGATCCAACATGATCCAACATGATCCAACATGATCCAAGTGTTTTGCCTCATTTCGTTCAACCAAACATAACCAAACTAATCAAACTATCAATCTCTTGAAAAAGTGAGGAGACAGACTCTTCCTCCGTTTGGATCTTACATTATGAACAGTATTGTGCCGCCAGGGTCTGGTCCAAAAGCTGTCAATTCCTCTGGGATGGCTATCATCTGCTCCATTACACCCGAAACATCTCAAAACCGAGTTTTCCAACGAGCCGAAAATGGAAAGCTCTACACAATAGCCGCAATAGCCACTCCCCCTTGCTTACAATGTGCGCGCCTCGCAGCCGGGAGCACTGTACGCCAGGCCTTTCGAAGTTCTCAGCAAAAGAGACGTACAGTGGCAGATACTTTCAGTAAAATCGATTGGGATACCTCATTACCCAATAGATACTTTCAGTGGCAGTTATTTACTGATTGGGTAAACTTGGGACGTGGCAGATACTTTCAGAATTCCATTTCTCAGATGCCTCGACTGCGAGCCGTGAGATTCTGTACAACAACGACTGCAGGAGGCTGCCAACACCTCGGAGCGATTGATGTCAAAGGCATGTGGCAAGTCATCGGGGTACCTCTGGAACTACAGAAATTGGTCATAGTTTATCACTTGATTGTATTACAATTATTGTAAATTACAATTGTAATTACAATTGTAATTACAATTGTAATTACAATTGTAATTACAATGTATTACACCATCGACTTCAAGATTTTTTGGCGGAGGCAATTCTTGACTTATTAGTCCAACTTAGATCATGTCTAATCGTAAGCTCTCTGTGATGTTCGGTGTAACGACGTGACTATCAATCTGCCAAGTTGCTCAACAGCCACTGTGACTGGAGGCACTCAAGCTTCTCTATCAGAAGCCTCAAAGAAACTTCCGTCGAGAAGAGAAGGAAACGGACAGCTTCTGCTGCAGGAGTCCAGAAGCTTCTGATAAAGCACTCCTAGGGTCTCTTTGCATCTCTATTCAGTGTTCCATACTTGTACCAATCTTGAACACTTCTCAGTGGTTCGGAACTATATGTATATATTTACCAATATTCTCATGTTCAATAATTCGTCCATATTCCTCTCTCATATGGGTCAAAACCATGACACCCTAACAGTCAAATAGCTGCAGGTGCAGTAGATGAGTGTTCATTCATCACCCCATAAAAAGTCACAGGTTTTGACCCATCCCATCTTACTCCAATCCCACGAGTTCCCATGTGACATGCCATTGTGTTATGAAAGTTGTGATTTTTCTTCCCAACTTTCCCAACTTTCCCATCCCAAAAAAGGTCAAATGAGTCACCCCTGAGCTCCAAGCCGGCCACTGCAGCGCTCCACCGCCAGGCCCCGCTTCAACGCCAAGACGTAGCCACCGAAGTCACTCAGCGCCTGGATTCGACCCGGGATCCCCGGCATCGTGAGAGTTACTAATAGTTCAATAAAGTTCAATAAAGCAACCAGTGGTTTCAACGTTAACAGCTACTAACAGCTACTAACCGAGTTACTAACCGAGTTACTAACCGAGTTACTAACTGTAAAATTGATATGCGTCGATGAGTCGAAAGTGGAATCATGTTCGAAAATCTCCACAAAAAAAACATTGATCGAAGCTCCCACACAACCCACGCCTCTGGAACTGATCCAACTGATCCCTCCTCCGCATCCTCCAACAACGATTCGATCCAACGACTGTCAAGGCGATCCCAGTTGATGGTCACCGGCAGCGACCTCATTCGGCTCACCGCATCCGCCATGCTGTGCTTTCGCGCTCGAGTAAACTCTGTATTCAACATAGATATGTTCAAGGCACTCCGAAATGTCTAAATTTTTAGTGTCTATATGTATAATAATAAGATATAATGATAAGAAGATGGTGTATTATATATATACATATACGTACGTATATTATGTTATATTATACTAGTATTCTATAATAATGTCTCTTTAAAAATAAAAGTGAAGACTTTTCTGCTGAGGACGCAGCAAAAGATCTGCCTTCAGCTCTCTCGTCTTCTCCTCATCGTTTCATCCCGGTGCTTGACAGGACGCGTTGAAGGAATCCCACACAAGAACAACCAATGTCCAAAAATAAACATCAATAAACATCAATAAACATCAATAAAGATCAATAAACATCAATAAACATCAATAAGCATCAATAAACAACAATAAACATCAATAAACATCAATAAACATCAATAAAGATCAATAAACAACAATAAACATCAATACACACCAATAAACAACAATAAACATCAATAAACATCAATAAACATCAATATAGATCAATAAAGATCAATAAACGTCAATAAAGATGAATCAACATCAAAATAAAGATCAATAAAGATCAATAAACATCAATAAAGATCAATAAACATCAATAAAGATCAATAAACATCAATAAACATCAATAAACATCAATAAGATGAATAAACATAAATAAAGATCAATAAACATCAATAAACAACAATAAGAGGAATAAACATCAATAAGATGAATAAACATCAATAAAGATCAATAAACATCAATAAACATCAATAAACATCAATGAAGATCAATAAACATCAATAAACATCAATAAACATCAATAAACATCAATAAACATCAATAAACATCAATAAAGATGAATAAACATCAAAATAAAGATCAATAAACATCAATAAACATCAATAAACTTGAGAGCAGGCGGAGGCGGACGAAAGGTAGTGTAGTGGGAGAGGAGTGGTGTCAAAATGCTGCGCCCCTAAGATGATACACCAAAAACTTTTTTGCGCAGTCTAAGATGATTTTATCCAGAGCATGACTGCATGATACGGTGTCTTGTGCAGCGTGAAATGATGCACGAAAAGGGGTTTATTAAAAACCCCTTTTTAAGACCCCTTGCAGCAACTGTTATTGAGGCTGAAGCAAACCAATTATGCTGGACTACAGGGACATCTCCCTCATGGAAAGTGTGCCTCTAATGTGGGGGCCCGTGACCGCGTCACCCGTGGGAATTGAACCCATGACCATTTTCGGGGGGGGGGGGCCCCCCCCTTATAATTGATATCCAATACATAACGGCGAGAATTCCATGAATTCCACGGGCTGGCCCCCCAATACCCCCTAAGCTTGTGCTGAAGCACGGAGAACTCAGGTAGCTGACGCTACATTTCGTGACATTAATGAACATAAATAAAGATCAATAAACATCAATAAACATCAATAAGATGAATAAACATCAATAAGATGAATAAACATCAATAAAGATCAAAATACATCAATAAACACCAATAAACATCAATAAACATCAATAAACATCAAAAAACATCAATAAACATCAATAAAAATCAATAAAAATCAATAAACAACAACAAACATCAATGCACACAAATAAACAACAATAAAGATCAATAAACATCAATAAACATCAATAAAGATCAATAAAGATCAATAAACATCAATAAACATCAATAAACATCAATAAAGATCAATAAACATGAAAATAAAGATCAATAAACATCAATAAACATCAATAAACATCAATAAAGATCAATAAACATCAATAAACATCAATAAAGATCAATAAACATCAATAAAGATCAATAAAGATCAATAAACATCAATAAACATCAATAAACATCAATAAACATCAATAAACATCAATAAACATCAATAAAGATCAATAAAGATCAATAAAGATCAATAAAGATCAATAAAGATCAATAAGCATCAATAAAATTCAATAAACATCAATAAACATCAATAAACATCAATAAACATCAATAAACATCAATAAACATCAAATAACATCAATAAAGATCAATAAACATCGATAAAGATCAATAAAAATCAATAAAGATCAGTAAACATCAATAAACATCAATAAAGATCAATAAAGATCAATAAAGATCAATAAACATCAATAAACATCAATAAACATCAATAAACATCAATAAACATCAAGAAACATCAATAAAGATCCATAAACATCAATAAGCATCAATAAGCATCAATAAACAACAATAAACATCAATAAACATCAATAAACATCAATAAAGATCAATAAACAACAATAAACATCAATACACACCAATAAACAACAATAAACAGCAATAAACATCAATAAACATCAATATAGATCAATGAAGATCAATAAACATCAATAAAAATCAATAAACATCAATAAACATCAATAAAGATCAATACACACCAATAAACAACAATAAAGATAAATAAAGATCAATAAACATCAATAAACATCAATAAAGATGAACAAACATCAGAAACATCAATACATATCAATAAACGTCAAAATAAAGATCAATAAACAACAATACAGATCAATAAAGATCAATAAACATCAATAAACATCAATGAAGATCAACAAACATCAATAAACGTCAATAAAGATCAATAAACATCGATAAAGATCAATAAAAATCCATAAACATCAATAAACATCAATAAACATCAATAAACATCAATAAACATCAAAAAACATCAAAAAACATCAATAAACATCAATAAACATCAATAAACATCAAATAACATCAACAGAGATCAATAAACATCAATAAAGATCAATAAAAATCAATAAAGATCAGTAAACATCAATAAACATCAATAAAGATCAATAAAGATCAATAAAGATCAATAAACATCAATAAACATCAATAAACATCAATAAACATCAATAAACATCAATAAACATCAATAAACATCAATAAACATCAATAATTAAACAACAATAAACATCAATAAAGATCAAATAACATCAATAAAGATCAATAAAGATCAATAAACATCGATAAAGATAAATAAAAATCAATAAAGATCAGTAAACATCAATAAACATCAATAAACATCAATAAACATCAATAAACATCAATGAACATCAATAAACATCAATAAACATCAATAAACATCAATAAGATGAATAACCATCAATAAGATGAATAAACATCAATAAAGATCAAAAAACATCAAAAACATGAATAAACATCAATAAACATCAATAAACATCAATAAACATCAATAAACATCAATAAAGATCGATAAAGATCAATAAACATCCATAAAGATCAATAAACATCAATAAACATCAATAAAGATCAATCAAGATCAATAAAAATCAATAAACATCAATAAAGATCAATAAACAACAATAAACATAAATAAATATCAATAAAGATCAATACACACCAATAAACATCAATAAACATCAATAAACATCAATAAACATCAATAAAGATCAATAAACAACAATAAACATCAATACACACCAATAAACAACAATAAACATCAATAAACTTCAATAAACATCAATATAGATCAATAAAGATCAATAAACGTCAATAAAGATGAATCAACATCAAAATAAAGATCAATAAAGATCAATAAACATCAATAAAGATCAATAAACATCAATAAAGATCAATAAACATCAATAAACATCAAAAAACATCAATAAACATCAATAAAGATCAACAAACATCAATAAACATCAACAAACATCAACAAAGATCAATAAAGATCAATAAACAGCAATAAACATCAATAAAGATCAATAAGCATCAATAAACATCAATAAACATCAATCAACATCAATAAACATCAATAAAGATCAATAAAGATCAATAAACACCAATAAAGATCAATAAACATCAATAAACATCAATAAACATCAATAAACATCAATAAAGATCAATAAACATCAATAAACATCTATAAACATCATTAAACATCAATAAACATTAATAAAGATTAAATAACATCAATAAAGATCAATAAACATCAATAAAGGTCAATAAAAATCAATAAAGATCAGTAAACATCAATAAACATCAATAAACATCAATAAACATCAATAAACATCAATAAACATCAATAAACATCAATAAACATCAATAAAGATCAGTAAACATCAATAAACATCAATAAAGATCAATAAACATCAATAAACATCAATAAACATCATTAAAGATCAAAAAACATCAATAAACATCACTAAACATCAATAAACATCAATAAGATGAATAAACATCAATAAGATGAATAAACATCAATAAACAACAATAAACATCAATAAACATCAATAAAGATCAATAAACATCAATAAACATCAATAAACATCAATAAACATCAATAAACATCAATAAAGATCAATAAACATCAATAAACATCAATAAACATCAATAATTAAACAACAATAAACATCAATAAAGATCAAATAACATCAATAAAGATCAATAAAGATCAATAAACATCGATAAAGATAAATAAAAATCAATAAAGATCAGTAAACATCAATAAACATCAATAAACATCAATAAACTTGAATAAACATCAATGAACATCAATAAACATCAATAAACATCAATAAGATGAATAACCATCAATAAGATGAATAAACATCAATAAAGATCAAAAAACATCAAAAACATGAATAAACATCAATAAACATCAATAAACATCAATAAACATCAATCAACATCAATAAAGATCAATAAACATCAATAAACATCAATAAAAATCAATAAAAATCAAAAAACAACAACAAACATCAATGCACACAAATAAACAACAATAAAGATCAATAAACATCAATAAACATCAATAAAGATCAATACAGATCAATAATTAAACATCAATAAACATCAATAAACATCAATAATTAAACATCATTAAACATCAAAAAGAATCAATAAACATCAATAAAGATCAAAAAACATCAATAAACATCAATAAAGATCAATAAACATCAATAAACATCAAGAAACATCAATAAAGATCCATAAACATCAATAAGCATCAATAAGCATCAATAAACAACAATAAACATCAATAAACATCAATAAACATCAATAAACATCAATAAACATCAATAAACATCAATAAACATCAATAAACATCATTAAAGATCAAAAAAATCAATACACAACAATAAACATCAATAAACATCAATAAACATCAATAAAGACCAACAAAGACCAATAAACATCAATACACAACAATAAACGACAATAAACATCAATAAAGATCGATAAAGATCAATAAACAACAATAAACATCAATAAAGATCAATAAACATCAATAATTAAACAACAATAAACATCAATAAAGATCAATAAAGATCAATAAAGATCAATAAATATCAATCAACATCAATAAACATCAATAAACATCAATAAACATCAATAAACATCAATAAACATCAATAAACATCAATACAGATCAAAAAAGATCAAAAAAGATCAATAAACGTCAATAAACATCAATAAACATCAATAATCATCAATAAACATCATTAAACATCAATAAACATCAATAAACATCAATAAAGATCAATAAACACCAATAAAGATCAATAATTAAACATCAATAAAGATCAATAAAACATCAATAAACATCAATAAAAATCAATAAACATCAATAAACATCAATAAACATCAATAAACATCAATAAACATCAATAAACATCACTAAGCATCAATAAACATCAATAAGATGAATAAACATCTATAAGATGAATAAACATCAATAAACATCAATAAAGATCAATAAACATCATTAAAGATCAAAAAAAATCAATACACAACAAAAAACATCAATAAACATCAATAAAGGTCAACAAAAACCAATAAAGATCAATAAACATCAAAAAAGATCAATAAACATCAATAAACATCAATAAAGATCAATAAACATCAATAAACATCAATAAAGATCAATAAACATCAATAAAGATCAATAAACATCAATAATTAAACATCAATAAAGATCAATAAAACATCAATAAAGATCAATAATTAAACATCAATAAACATCAATAAAAATCAATAAACATCAATAAAGATCAATAAACATCAATAAACATCAATAAACATCAATAAACATCAATAAACATCAATAAACATCGATACAGATCAAAAAATATCAATAAACGTCAATAAACATCAATAAACATCAATAATCATCAATAAACATCAAAAAACATTAATAAACATCAATAAAGATCAATAAAGATCAATAAAGATCAATAAACATCAATAAACACCAATAAAGATCAATAAACATTAATAAACATCAATAAACATTAATAAACATCAATAAAGATCAATAAAGATCAATAAAGATCAATAAACATCAATAAATATCAATAAACATCAATAAACATCAATAAACATCAATAAACATCAATACAGATCAATAAACGTCAATAAACATCAATAAACATCAATAAACATCAATAAACATCAATAAACATCAATAAACATCAATAAAGATCAATAAACATGTCATTTCTAGTCTCAAACCATCCAATTTTGGTGTCTCAATCCTTCCGGATCCCCATCTGTATCATCTGTCCAGGTCAAAGCGTGAGAGCGGTGTGAAGCCCGCCAGCGAGGCAGCACGAAGAAATTGCCGGGCAAAGCGCTCTTCCTCCGCTGTCACTGTGGAACTGTCGTTTGGGAGGAACTTCCCATGAAATCTGTGGATCTTAAGACCCATGCATCAACGAAAAAAAAATGGAAAGCCCGAAAAAAATATGGCAAAACATTGGAAAACCATTAGAAAAAAACTATGAAATCTTTGGATCGCATCCACAGCACAGCTATCACTGGGCTATCACTGGGCTATCACTATGTCCTTATCCGGCAAAGGCCAAGAGCCCACCCAGCGACGTCGCGCGGGGTCGAAGGGCTGATAGGAATCCGACAAAGTCCACCGCAACTCTCGCAGCTCCTGGCGTTTTGGGCTACAATTATGATGATAGATGGATATAGATGGTATGAGTATGAGTACGACCTGATATTTTAATATATTTTAATATATTTTATATGACCATCTATGACCCATTTGAATCCATTTGAATCCATTTCCAACCATTTCCACTTTAAAGATCTTTAAAGACCACTGTCCTCGTGCACCAATTCTTGCAACGTCGTGCCTCGGCTCAGCTGATGCAAAAACATCAGCCTGTTTCAATGCGCATGTGATGTGCGCATCTGTGCTATGTGCATATGGGTATGGGTCAAAATTAGGTACCCCAATAATTATAATAATTGGATGGTTAATACTAAACTAGACATTCACATCTGTGGTCCCCTAGGTCTTCCATTTTGACCCACATCCATATGCAAATCATGGATAATCATGGTACTAGTAGCCACCAGGCACGGGCCCTAAAATGCTCGCAACAAAAGAAAGACCCACCCAGGCAACAAAATGCAAAAGCCACCCAACAAAACAAACATGTTTGAAAGAAAACATAAGTCCAGGCTACTCCCAAACCTCAAATTTGGATTCTCTAAAGAATCAGCACCCAAAGTGCTGTCTGGGTTTGAAAATCCATCGTGCATGATCTATACTTTAACATACTTTAACTACACAAGGATATCATCGTATTTGTATGTGCGTAAGAATTGTGACTTCGCATATTGATTGTACGGTTGTGTCCCGAGATCTCTTTACACATTTTACACTTGTGCCAATCGCGCATATGTTTCACCTGGATTCATGTCTGACAAGCGGCATACCCCTTGCCACTCCTCCACTGCCTTCGGGCAGAGGATGCACAGCGAGTTGCACATGCCAAAAACATTCAGGTTGCTCGTGTTTCTCACTTTTTGTCTACTGGAAAGGAAGTAAGAAATCCATAAAAATCCCCAATTCCATCGTCCAGTGAATTTCATCCATGTCCATTCGGAGTCCATTCATCCTTCCGCGCCGTGCTGCGCCTTCTCCTCCAATCGTTGCTCCAACTTCTGTCGCAACACCTCTGGGGGCACCGGGATGTACGAATGCCTCAGTACCAGCACAGGCATTCCCCAGCAGAGCCATCCGAAAAATCTGAGAATATCTGCTGTAATCTTAAAAAACTGACAACCACTGCAACTCTCCTGCCACCTTTCCCACTCGAAGCATCTTGAGGAGATGGCTCATCAATTGGCACCTCACAGAAGTAGGGCCAGTAGGGTCTCGAACCGATCTACAAAGACTGCAAAGAGTCAATGTCGTTGCAAAGTCGGCAGAAAAACATGGAAAAAAAACAACTCGGAATCTCCCTCATGATCATCATGCCGACTTGTGGATCTTTCCACCGACGTAGAACACACCAGCGACCCATGTGGCAATCACATCCGGAGACTGGGATTCCAAGCGCAATGGCCACGCAGGCTAGGTTGGCCTCAAATTCACAGCTTCACAGCTTCAGCATGCACAACATGATACAACGTTCGAGACAACCCACGCTGCCTTTTCGCGCAACTTTGGCACTGGGCCGGCCTGGAACCACAGAACATTAAGACATCTTCAAGCCCAACCATCTCAACCCGATTCCGCAGAATATAACAGAATTATACACCAGTGAGGATCCAATGAGGGGTCTATTGGCCCCCAACCTATCCCTATCGAGGCTCAACCTGGTTTACTTTGAATCCCAGCCTCGGCTGGCAAGGAAGATAAAGACCTGGTTCCGCATGCCACGCGGTAGAGACATGTAGAGAAATGGATATAAATGGAAGGGCGTCACTGCATTCATCATCCTTTCGCCAGCTCTTGCTTCGTCACTTTGTGAGAGCAAACAAAGAGCTTCTTGCATGTTAAACTGCTGTTTGGCAAAACGACCCAGTAGGAGTGAATCAAACTGGAGCAGCAAAGTCAATATTGCATCTTTTTGGCACAAATTTCGAGTAGCGTACTGGCCATACAGTCCTGGCATTGCGCCGTCGACCATTCCACCCTGTGCTGATGAGCGAGTTCACTGACAGGATGTTGTTGAAGTGGCAAACAAATGTGAAAGGAACCATGTGCACTCATGTGCACTCTAATTCTGTTTCTTGTTGAACTAGATGTTCAGGGAAACCATCAACATGCTCAACATGCAAAGAATGAGCCTTTTTCCGCACTCAAAAACCATGCCTGCGATTGGCTTGGTTTCCCTTTTGACGACTGCGATTGGCCTGCCATCTTCGGTTGCAAGTGTCTCAGTTGCAAGTCCTTGACTGAGCTGTCGGTCAAATGCACATGTCGTAGATTTATCGTATAATTGTGTCTCATAGAATTCAGTTCTGTCAGCTTTGTCTTGATTTTTTGGCAAATGCTTCAGGAAATTTCATTGAAGTATATTGAAATATATTGAATCAATGATTGAAGTATTGAAATGTATTTTTCAGTTCATGAGAAAAAAAATGACGTCTTCGGTGGAGTCGCCTTGTACAGGCTGGCATCCAACTACAGGTTGCTGCCATGGCGCCATGCCGCACCGAATCTCCGAGATCAAGCGTCAATCCGAAATGGAAATCCTCATGTTGAGATATGTTGAGCCGTGGAACACCCGGTTTTACCGTTTTTCGAAATTGTACGTAAGGCGTACGTGTTTGATGCATGTTAATCAATGTTAATCATCGAAACAGCAGCTGTCTTTGCTAACTTGACTCACATTCAAATTCTTGCGCTGCATTATGAATGTCTTATACTGTCTTTGGATTTACATTCAACTATGAAGGAATCAGGATGCTTCTAGAGATGATCGGAATTGGAATGCATCCGTGCTTTCACATTTATATGATTTATATTGATTTATATATTAATGAAAGTAAAAGCTCTCAGCTTTCTCATGATCTTGAATACTTTCTGTCAAATCTGACCAAGCCGTGAGGCTCAGCGACTGGAGTTGAACATCCGGGTCGCACCGAGACCACAAATAGTGCAACACTTGCAACACCATGGAGCAAACTCTGCTGAGTGCAACTCATTTTCTCGAGAAGGCGCCACATTACAACTGCAGTGTCTTTGACACTCTGAGTCTCCAAAAAGCGGGTTTGGTGTCAGTGCTTCCAGCCAGAAAGCCCTAAGGCTGACTCCTGACATCTCCTGACAATGTCTGCAGCGACTGCAACAAATTGACCCACACAAAATGGGTCAAACCCGGCTGAGCACCAAACACAGCAATCGATCACGCCCTTGTCGACGACGATGCTGGTTCCATCCCGGTGGCAAAAACCACGTGATGAGCTCGCTAAGGCGACCATCACGTGGATCAGTCGTATGAGTCGTGTCAGTCGTATCACTGTCCAGACCAAACAAATTGAAAGCCCTGGGCCCATGTTCGACTGGTCATACTTGTATAACTAAATGTCGATTCACTAATTATACTGATTTTTTTTAAAAAAAAAACACACAGAGAAGCTTTTTGCAAAATATTTATCTCTCAAGGGCTTTCACTTTGTCTGTCTCTTTGCAAGAATGGTGGCAGGTAGCAGATCTCCCGATCTCAAATCCTAGCCCGAGGGTTTGCATGCCTGCCGTTTTCAATAGCTTGCGTGACAGTCTGACATATCTACAAGATGTTACAAGATGTTACAAGATGTTACAATGTTACAAGATGCTGTCTCAAGATGCTTTGACCACCTTCACAACCCTCGTATGAGGGCAGACGCTTTTGACCGTGCCATGAAAACTCTTCAAGAGTGCTTCAATGGCTTGGTCTTCTGCGGGCTCAGAGCAAAGATCGAACATGCTGCAAAGTATCTAAATCCTCTGCAAAATCGCGGTGCTCGGATATGTACGAGCTGGTACTTGCCCATTTGTGTGCCTCAGGGATGCCATGGGCCACATAGCGATATGTCATGATACTTCATATTCCTCATGATACTTCCGGTCGTAGGACATTTCGACGCATGTCGACCTGTACCAAATCTTGCCAAGTAACACTAGCAAGCACATCCTCACCCTTCACGACACGCTGCATTGCTCCAATGACCTCGGCTGACTGTAGCTGCACCTGCCACGGCATACTGCGAGTGGCGAGTGCTGGCGAGTGCTGGCGAGTGCTGGCGAGTGCTGGTGCTCCGCCAAGAGACGACGTTTCCAATCCATGCAATCATCACTTGTCCTCAGAGGTCAACCGCTGCCACGCAACCCGGATCCATCCGGATCCACCCATCTCGCCATCCCGCCATCCCGCCATCCCGCCGCCCTCCAAATGCTCCAAGAAACTCACATGCTCGTTGATTTCCTCAAAGCCGCATCCGGCCAAAATCTTAGCCTGGATGGCCTGTCAGAGGAAATTGATGCTATGATTGTATATCATGTTCATATCATGTTCATATCATGTTCATATCATGTTCATATCATGTTCATATCATGTTCTATCTATTTCATAGTTATTTTATAGTTATTTCTGTGAATTTCTATTTGCTTCTATCTGTTTCTGTTGAATCCATTCTGGAATCCCCACTCTTGGAACAGTTGTGAATGAAATTCACGCGCCTCTTTATCCTGAGGAGACCATGCATCTGCAGTGGCCGAGTTCACGGTGCAGAGAGAATCCTTCACAGACTTAATGCCTTCCTTAGAGCAAAGCTGACAGCTGCTGACAGCTGACACACTTGGCGAGTCATTTGGTGCCATGCCATCAATGCCATTAGCATCTGTAATTTCTCATGGTGATTCATAGTAACTTTCACGCCTCATTGATACATCGTACATCACAGGAATTGCCAAGGAGCCGTTCCGGTGGAAATTGTCATGAAGAGATTTGCCTCTGCCTTGGTGGAGCTTTCTGGCTAATTGCCATACGACAAACTATAAGCTGCTACAAGCTGCCAAAAAACAATGTAGCACCTCATAAATCGGACGCTCACAGGTTCCAGATCTTCCAGCTTTTATATCTTTTATCTTGACCACAGAGCTGAAAGATTCGGGAGAAAGTGGGCGTGTCCAAACTGAGATCAAGCGCCCAAATAGATGGTTTAGAAAATAAGTTGTCCACTCCCATCATTTGAATTCATTTGATGGCCATTGACATTGGGGGCCCATCACCCATCGGACAAACCCAGTCAACACAGGGCAGCGAAGTTCAAGTGGCATCTCTAGGCAGAATGATCTTCACCTGGAATCCAGTTCCATTTGATGATTTTTATGTCAAAAATCTTTGAACAGGATCTACAGGATCTACTGGAAGCACCCAGTAGCATAAGATCTGTGAATCGTCAAATTGGTTCACTGGAGCCCAGTCCCTGCCTCGATCTGATTGGTGACGGCAACGTACTGCTCAAAGATGGTCCAAATCCTGGTTTGTTTCAAAGTATTTTGAAGTTGTAAGAGCAGCTGCAAGCTGTCAGGTCAAAAATCACGACACCGAAATTATCCACTTCTCATCACCTCTCATCACCTCTCCTCGTCAGGTAGACGGGCTTTCGCCAATTGTCTAGCAGAGCGATCATCCTCCTCAGTATCCACCGGCACTCTCTCTCTCTCTCTCTGTGTCGCTTGATGTCGTTTGATCCTTCCAGATCCAAACCACCTCCCAATCCAAATACTCTAAACTTCTCCGAATCTCATGCGATGCCCTGATGACTTCTGACACTCCTGTCCCCTAAACAAAAGTAATGTGCACATTGCCGAGCAACCCAATTCTCACAAGATTTCCTGTGGGCACCAGGCATGTGCCAAACATTTTGAAATTTGGGTCGAAGGCAACTCTGGCATCATGCTAGGCTGGCATCATGTGCAAATCTCACTGGTCTCATTTCTGCAAACGGCAAGAAAAGGACGTCCAGCTTCAAACGTGGCAAAATATGCCGAAAAATCCAAAAAGGAAAAAAATATAACAAATGTATGACAAAAACCTGCAAAAACCTGCAAAAACCCTCAGAGCTATCATGAGAATTATGAGCCAACACCAAGTCTCCTTCAAAGATGCGATCCAACTCGTCACTACCGGTCTGCTGGCCAGAAACCAAGATTCCTGGCGGGTGTCAGACTGGGGCGGCAATTTCCAGAAATTTGTTGCTGTTATCAGGTTTGGCTGCATGTGGTTATGAAATGTTATGAAGATCCCCCATCGAATTTTAGGGGAGACGTTGTGACCCCTGGTCTGTAAGGCATAAAAAAGATTCACAAGCTTGGGGCTATAGAATGAGGTTGCTGAGCTCCATTTTTCTCGAAAATAGCCTTAGCTACAAAATGCCCCTTCGTTTCAACAACCTTGACATAGGGGGAGGTTTTACCTTGTTACAAAATGCCCCTTCGTTTTCAACAACTGTATCATACAAGGACATACCCTTTGCTACAAAATGCCAATCTCATTTTCAAGGACTGCATATGCAAAGGAACATCGTTGCTACAAAATGCAACGTTGTTTTCAACATCATCCACCAAGATTCATCAAGCATCATCATTCATCACTGATCAATATAGATCAATACAGATCAATACAGATCATGCATATTCATGCATCATCATGCAGAATTGTTCTGTTTGAATCTGCTTGGTCCTTTTCATTATGTATTGCGGCGGCTCTGCAACGGATTGCTTGAACCACATCTAAGCTACAAAATGCCCGTTTGATTTTTATAAGCCAGTATGAAGCTCATCATGTCATGCTACAAAATGCCACTGCGGTCTTCATGATGGGCTAACATGACTAAAATGACTCCTTTATAAAATGATATTCACAAGTTTAAGCTACAAAATCTTGGACCTGGATTTCATCTCAGGGTTAGCCTGACTAAAATTGAAGCCTCTGTATAGTGCTTGTGGCCACCAACTCTGTAGCTTGAATTTGCTGGGGGATTTATGAAGTAAGACACATAATAATAATCAGTATAAATGATATGAGTTGACATACATACATTGATAAAGGTTGTGGTTATGGCCGGACAATTCAGTGGAATCATCTGCAAAATCTGGTGAGAACACTGGTGTGTTGCCGCAGGTTGCGCCAAGAAACTATGTTGGTTGTTGACGAAGAAACACATGAAGAGAAAGGCATCGCCTTGAAAAGTGGCAGGCACGACAGCGCGACATGCCACCGCTTCAAAAGTTGCGAAATGGTGTGACATTGTGCTGTGCAGCATGGTTCGGCCAAGCAACTTGGGTCGATCAAGGTACTATGAATCCAAAAGTCCAAGCCGCTTCTCACTTGCCTCCCAGGAACACGATTGTGGAAATTCCATGTGGAAATTCCATGAAAATTAGAAAAAAAATCGGTGAAACGAGGTTTGTTCCCGTAAGCGCGCCTTATGGTGTAGGCCCAAGACCACGAAAGGAAGTGTGTCTGCTTCTGCCGGAATTCCCTCCAGCTGCGGCAATTTGAACCCTGGGCCTGGGGACCCTTGGCAGTCTAAAATTTTGCGCTATGAGGTTTTTTGTTTCTACACTATACAACAACAATTTCATGTGTGCCATGGTCAAAACACGGTATATATATATATATCGGTATATGGTTTATGGTCATGGTCCCATATGGGAATCCTTATCATGGGTATGTTCCTATGAAAATGTTTTGATGACCATGGCACATAAGGTTCCACATCCTGACATCAGCCCAACCCCACTTTGTTGAAAGCCCCGTCAAGCTGTGCCTTGAAAATGCGTCTGTCAGGGCCACACCTTTTTGCCTTAGCAGAATGTTGATGTTGATATAAATTAGATGCACATATGTGTGTATATATAGAGAGAGAGATATTATGTTTTATTGATTTGTAAATCAGCTGAACATATGCTGTATAATGTTATATAGGTTTAAAAATCAGCTGGAAATAATATGATATATAAATATACCAGTAGTGTTGCACAAGGCGGTGGCGGAAGATTCAAAGATTGGAGAGGCGAGTTGTTGTGATGCATGGATGGCAGAACGAATCCACTGATGGACCGAAAGGTGGTTGGAGTTGTGTTGTTTGGGGTGGTTGCAGTGGCTGCAGTGGTCACCTCACCGACAACTGCTGGATGTAGTGTGGCGTAGCGCAGTTGTAGTTGTAGTTGTAGTGTAGTGTAGTCGAGTTGTAGCTGTAGTTGTAGTGCAGTGTAGTGTAGTTGTAGCTGCAGTTGTAGTTGTGGTGTGGTGTAATTAGTGTAGTGTAATGTAGTGTAGTGTACTCTAGCGTTGTGTACTGTAGCGTTGTGTACTGTAGTGTAGTTGTAGCTGTAGTTGTAGCGCAATGTAATGTAATTAGCGTAGTGTTGTGTACTGTAGTGTAGTTGTAGTTGCATCTAATTTGTAGTTGTACTTGTAGTGTGTTGTAGTGTAATTGGTGTAGCGTAGTGTAACGTAGTGTAGTTGAATTGTAGTTGTAGCTGCAGTAGTCGTCGTAGTAGTAGTAGTAGTAGTAGGTGGTAGTAGTAGTAGTAGTTGTTGTTGTTGTTGTGGTGTAATTAGTGTAATTAGTGTAATTAGTGTAATTAGTGTAATTAGTGTAATTAGTGTAATTAGTGTAATTAGTGTAATTAGTGTAATTAGTGTAATTAGTGCAATTAGTGTAATTAGTGTAATTAGTGTAATTAGTGTAGTGTAGCGTAATTAGTGTAGTGTAGTGTAATTAGTGTAGTGTAGCGTAATTAGTGTAGTGTAGTGTAATTAGTGTAGTGTAATGTAGCGTAATATATTGGCAGTTGTAATTGCAGTTGCAGTTGTAATGTAACGTAGTGGTAGTGGTAGTGGCTGTTGCAGTTGTAATTGTAGTTGTGGTTGTAGTTGTCTATCTATCTATCTGTCTATCTGTAAGATAGCTATTCTGCGAGACCTGCTCAATTTTCGAAGTTGAGAGCGCCAAAAACGCAGCAATTCTGCGAGATTTCCTCAATGTTTTAACTTGACAACGTCAAAAACGAAAATGGAAAGTTGACTGCAGAGCTGACGGCCTCTACCAATGCGTTTTGCAATTTTTCCACTCCACCTGTCTAAAGTATTGCGCCTGCCACGAAAAAGTGATGCCAAATCATACGAAGTGCTGCACCCGTCACCCAAAATCATCTTTGCAAACCTGACGATCTGATGATCCAAAATGTAACCCTTCTCAGGAAATCAGCGCCCGGACCTCCTAACATCTCTGATGAACATGTCTCTTGTATTGCGCCTGCCACGCGAGATGCATGTTTGCAGATCCTCTTCAAATGTCCCACGCCTGCCAAGGCTTTTGAAACTGCTACAAAACCCCCACATTTTGCTCATTTTTGACAAGGTGCACAATCCCTTGCGCCTGCCACGCAAAACGACATCTGAACGTCGAAAAGTGCTGCGCACCCGTCCGTTTTTCACTTTTGACTTGGAAATGTGCTTCGCGGCACAACGGCGTGCACTTTTTGAACATGTAATCTTCCAACAGTGCTCCGATGTTGGTTTGTTTTGTGCGCTTTTACTTGCAAATGTGCTTCGCGCCACAACAGCGTGCAATTTTTCATCTCTCATCTCCCATCATCTCCCCAAATGGCTCCGCACCCGCCGCTCTAGTGAGCCTACTTTTCAACCCTCCGGAGCCCCAAAACATTGGAAAAACACAGTGTTTCGCGATTTTTCTACCTTTTCGCGCACCTGCATCTTCTTGCTTCTCACCCTTTCTCTTCTCTGATCTTTCCTCTTCTGCTCTTCTCCTCTCTGACTCTTCCCACCCCTGGCTTTTCCATCTGTCCATATTGTCAGAAGTTTGACTTCTAAAATTCTAAACTTCCTTTGATAATGTTATATAGATTTGTAAATTATATTATGTTATGTGGTCACAGACGAGCGGCCCGTCCCGTGGGCATATCATGTTGAAGCTCTTGTAGAAGAAAAAATCCTCCATGCCATTCCAGTTGTCTCCTGGGTGCGCGAAAATCGCAGAGGATGCCAAGTTGAAATTCAAATCGCATGAACAAACAAACCTTTGGTATCCTCCTGTCATGCAACAGTGTCGCAGCCGAGTCTCGCATGAAGAAGTTCTTCTTCAGGTCGTGGAAAGTTGGATCCTGCGACAGAAAGATGTCTGTGGAATGCTGGCATCATCTTTCAGCCAGGTTTCCGCTGAGAGATCCTTGGAGACCAATTTTGATGGCACAAGATGCACAAGATAATTGATGGCCAATTGTTCAGTTATTATTCGTTGATATAGCAGGTGCAGGTTAAAGGCAAAGTCCACAGAACTCTCTCCCTGGAGTGGCGGTCCCTGATGTTTTCTCCACAAGAGGCTTTCCTTAGGTCCGCAGAGATATGCAGAGGCTCGCTGATGAAATCCAACAAAATAAGGAGAAATGTCCCTGCCAAGCCGCACTACTTTCATGAAGTCATCAGAAAGCAAATAGAGAACACCGATCCCGGCTTGCAAGCTTTGTTCCTGTAGAGAGATAGAGAGAGAGAGCGGAGAAGGGCAAAAGGTTACAATGCAAAACACTAGAAAGTCATGATCCGACTCAGTTTGCTAAACATTACCCATCGTCCCCAATATCTATCAATATCTTGGGTTTCCTATGGTTTCCTGGATCCCCAACATGTCCTTCGCTACTTCCGCTGCATTTTTCACAGGGTAGGAGAATCCGAACATGTTCTTGCCTTTGAATGGTCCTAGGCGTGCAGTGGGTGCAGTGGGTGCAGTGGGTGCAGTGGGTGCAGTGGGTGCAGTGGGTGCAGTGCCCCAAGGAGGCCATGGCCATGGCCGCCATGGCCAGTGCCTCTCCGTCTGCCCAGGCACGGAGTTTGTTCTCAGCTTCCTTCGCTGCCACCACATCCTGATCCTGAACCGGAGATGGAAACAAGATGAAACAAGGAAACACTGAAGCGGATCTCTTCGTCTTCGCTACTATTATGTCTAGGTGCCCAAAGTGCTTTCTCCAGCTCTTCATTCCATTTCTGCACGTATTTGCTACGCCGTCTGCGTATCACACCCTGAAACCTGAGCAAGGCAGGATTTCATTTGGCAAATTGAATCCCAACATTCACGTAGAAGCGGGCGGCCGAATCAGGAACCAGGAATTGGGCACCAGGGCAGAGGAAGTGGGAATTGGGCACGTAAAAATCGTCCTTTTCGTTCCTTTTGTCTTTTGGTGTGCATCTTCTTTTGAAGATTCCCATAAAATTTGTAGTGAAATCAAGAGTGTTCTGCCGTGCAAGAATCAAGAAGCTAGACTTAGCTTGCCCCTCTCCATCCAAAACCTGTGACCTTTCCTGCGAATCAAGCAGCATTCGGGAAAAGTAGAGGGCACAGAGAAATAGGAGCGGCACAGCCACACAAATAATGATGACATACTGCATGGTTCCATCATCAGTTGCAACCTGTGTTGATGCGGTTGATGCGGTTGATGCGGTTGATGCGACTCAAGTGGGATAGCAAATCACTTGCAGTATCCAAATCACGGGTTCAAAATGGTTCAAACACTTCAACCATTTGAAATATTCTGAATTTGGCGATATCTGGCGCCTCTGGCTCACAGAAAAGCCCGCTCTCACCATTCGGCCGAGAGGGCTCCTTGCAACCGTTCCTGGCGATCTTCGATATGAATGTTGGATGAGCTGGATGTCCCAATTTGAGATCCACTGGATGTCGTAACAGTTTGTATCAAATTTGCTCAACTGGATGTCGCCTCCACTCCCAAGTCGGAGCTGGAAATTTCAGATTGCTTTGAGAGTTCGTTTCCGGCAGCACCTCTACACGAGTCGCGGGAAAGGGACAAGAAGTGAGGCACAACTCAGGTTCTAGGCCCTCTAGGCAGGTGGAAAGTGGAAGGAGATCGAACAAATGGAGAAGTTGTACCTGACACCCTTGGTACGTTCTGACTTGATACACTTCTTTCCCATGGATTTACAAGCAGAATCGCCCTTGAGTGAGAAACGTCCCAAACATCCATGTCTTGTATGCTTCATAATCAGTCAACCTAGGCTGCTTCATCCGACAGGTACAGAGCTAAAAGCAGTGGACCTGGCTCAACGCTCAACATACTGTCACTTCTTATGACTTCTTGTGTCTCGCCATCTCAGCCATTCCCATCCATTCCCCCCAAGTATCCCCTTTGGATCCTTTTGGTTGATGATGTTGATGTTCAGTCAGAACGTTTCAGAACCAACTCTTAGCTTCGTCCAGTCACTGAGGTTCGGATGGTGTTCGGATTGTCTGCAGTCCCAGGGAAGACTTGGATCACCTGAGACCCGATCCGAAAAGGGGGTTGTGGTCCTTGCAGCTTGTCATGTGCTTGTCATGTGCTTGTCATGTGCTTGTCATGTGCTTGTCATGTGCTAATCTTTGCACTCTGAATCTGACCTGAAATCTATGCTGTCCCAAAGCTCTCAAGGATCTGAGAAAAAACACACAGGTCACACAAAAACTGCTTTGAACATCTGTGAACTGCACATTTTTGAAGCAACGGTGCAACGGGACCCTTTCCGAGGCACTGCAGGGTCATGTCCCACATTCTGGTTGAGGTTGTCGAATCGAACTTCACCGAAGAAGGTATCAACACGGATATCCCTGCAGCAACCAGACTGTAACAGACTATCTAATAGACTCAAATCTGCATAAATCTGCAACACTTGCAGCACCTTGGCCAAATCTTCTTCGATTGAGTGGTTTCCACGAAATTGGTTTTGTGAAAAGAATGTCAAAGAATGTCAAAGAGCAGAATTCAGTGATATTCAGGAGAAAACGGAAAATGGTCCATTTGGGTTGGACGATAGCTTGCAGTAAATCAGCTAAGTATCCGAATAGCCACTCGGAAGTCAGTGTCATCAAACCTTAGCGGGTCCAGTCTCACAATATCCTACAATATCTTACAACATCTTACGACAAGCACCTGTCACAGCCTATCACTTGCATTTCAAATCACTTCATAACGTTCAAATACATTTAAAATACATTTAAATACGAGTCAGTTGTTGGTGCTTCGTTGGGTCGGAAATGCGACAAGCTTCTGTTGCACGCCATTCCACACGATGCCAGCCATAGCTTTCTCCAGGACGACGCCGGCGGCCGCACATTGTGCCACCTTTGTATCTGGATATTCACCTGCACCAAGGCCAACAAGCCGCATTGAAGTTGGGGGTTTGAACTAGAATGAACTATATAGCTGGAACCAGATGCAACCAGTTGGAACCGATGGAACCAGTTGGAAGCAGTTGGAACCAGATGGAACCAGTTGCAACCAGTTGCAACCAGTTGGAACCAGTTGCAACCAGATGGAACCAGCAGTTGGAACCAGTTGGAACCATGGTTGGAACCAGTTGCAACCAGATGGAACCATGGTTGGAACCAATTGGAACCAGTTGGAACCAGAAGTTAATGAGTTATATACTACAGTAGGAAGGTGCGTTCGCAATACGTCGGGATATGTTGCGTGCACGCATTCGCAGTTGCACACATGCTGCGCATGCTTTAGAACTTCTGCATCAGCACCAAGTTCGGATTTGCCATCTCTCATTGATGCACCATTGTACAACGTTCAGAAATCCGAAGAATCCAAGTACATTTCAAGATCTGGCATTAAAATGCATCCAAACCCAGAGTTACGCTCTCTGGCCCCTGTGCTGGCCTATGGCGTCTTTGTACTCCCCAGCAAAGAAAGTGCTGTTGCCCACAGAAGACAAATCCGAAAAATACCTTGGCAATTGTGGAGAGATAGACTGAGACATAGACTGAGACATATAACGAGACATTCCCCTCTGGACATGGTCTTGGGTGTTGAGTTATGTCAATTTGGTCCAATCACCGCGGACATCACTCTCCAATTTTGCGTCCAAGATGCTGGGTGTGGTGCCATGCAGTGGGACACATCACATAGTCGCCATCAGAGAGTCCCTGTGCATCGGGTGGAAATGCTTGTAGCCACCTGGGACCGAAGCGGCACATTCGATGTCATCTCAACATACTCAGCCTGACTATGGCATGCTCTTACTGGCTACACGAAAGAAACCTGCTGAAACACTTAGCCTGCGTCATCTCAGGGAAGGATTTCACTTGCTTTTTCAGATTTGCACAAAAGAATCAAAAGAGAGGCTCACAATCTGCGGAAAAATGATCCTCGCATGGAGACATGAGAAAAGGACATTAAGATGAACCTGGCTGAAATTGTGGCTGACTGGGCGTACATGCGAAGCAAAGACTTGGCTGAACATTCGCCACATTCGCCTTTCCTACATTTTCCTACGGCGCCCAAAGGGGTTGGAAGGTCAAAGACTCTTTGTCCAGTTCTCTGAGCTGCTCTCGTGTCTTTGGTGCCGACCACACGACATTCAGATGCAGATCCTGAGCGCTTTTAGCGGTCACTGATCAGTCTTAGTCTTTCAAAGAGGAAATCTGGAACTTTGGAAGCCATTGCAATCATTGGATGCCATTGATATTGGCAACCACGCAAGTTCTTAGAGTTTCATTGCGTCAAATCTGTGTCAAATCTGCCAAGTCAAAGTTGCTCAAGTTCGCCAGGTTTCAACCATTTTCCGAGTCAAGACCTTTTGAAGTTCAATTCCATCCTTCCGCAGGAGGTGGGCGTCAAAAACGTGCACCGCTGCACCATGCTGCACCCTCAAGCCGTTTCAACTTCTTTGACGTTTGAACACGTTTGAACCTGTTCCCGTGCTGTCCTCCACCCAGGTACATCCGAAAGACATGCGAACGTCGTTTTGCTTCATGCGATCAGCCAATCCCTGAGGCGAGGTCGAAAATTTCATGCCTAAGCCGTACCCCGTTTCCGTGATTTTCCGTTTATGTGTTCCAATGTGTTCCCATTTCTTCGAAGTTCCAGTCGGCTTTAACCATCGACCATCTTCGACCATCTTCAACCTCCGACTGGGTGCCTCCATTTTCGTAACATAAGTAACATCCGATACATTGTATGGCAAGGTCTCGAAGATCTGAAACCCTGATGCAACAGCCTGACAGGGCGTTGCAAACAGCGCTGAAGTGGAGACTAACTGGACTCACAAATGTTCACAGCTCTGATCCAAAAATCCTACGAGAGACCCAGCAACTGAGCTATTGCGTGAAGCCTATGGGTTGAACACCATCGCTGGTATGTTGTTCGTGTGCTTGGGATGTGGGGGAGATGTGTGTGTGTGTGTTGGGGTTGGGTGGGACGCGATGACGTACTGTTGCTTTGTGGCACGTATATTGGTAGCAGCGCCATGATATAACCTTTTAATCTTGCCACATTTGCCACATGCAGTGAATGCTACACTCACATCAGGCATATGTCAGTGATCACGCGCTGCTAGCAAAGACACTGGTAGCAACTTGTCAAAAAGACACGGTCTACGCCTCTGACGCTGTGGTTTCGCAACAAACATATCATGGACTGGGACTCGCTGTTTAGTGACTATATTTGTTGATGTCCCAGTACTGGCGACAAGAAGATGCGAGACTACCGGAATTGAGACACAAAGGAACACTCAGGACCAAAAAAGTGCAAAATGTTGCAAAGTGCAGCAGTGCAAAACCAAGGTGGGTGTAAACAAAAAAAAGTTGCTGCCACATTCAATTTCCAACGTGCCAGGTTGTTCGAGATGTGGATGTGGATTGTTAAGTGGTGTATTGGGGGGAAAGATCTTTGACTTGTCTAGTTGTCCTATGTTGTCGTGCACCTGTAAACATGGATTCAAGTTCTACTTCCATCCTCTTCTTTGTGTTTTCAGACTCGCGCCTACTGACTCATAGCAAAAAGCACTGGTGGGATTTGTGGCTTTGCTATCTTTTCTCTATGTTGCATTGCAACGAAACAATCCCAAATAATACGAAACATCGCAAACTCTCTCTCTCTCTGAGTCTCTCTGTCTCGCAGCCTGCCTGGCTTATTGCCATTCCACATGTGTAGTCCGTAATTTCATTCTCCACATTGCGGAAAAACACGATCTTCCGACCTCGCAATCTGCAGAATCCCAGTGCACCTTTTTCGGTCGCCCGGTCGCGCCAAGGAACTGTTCCCACCCATGGCGTCTGGGATCGTGTCAGGACTGTCCAACCTCTTCGACACCTGGAATGGGACAGTACCACTGGGCATTCTTTGATATTCTTTGTATCCCATACTTGGGTATGTGATGGTATGTGTATAAACATTCATTCATACAAGTATACACATTATACATTTACAGTAATCATATTGCATATAAAATGCAATTTATGGGAATACGCAATTTCTGCACCCCTCTTGATGTGTTTAGATGTGTATACTTGCACAGGCACACATAATGTTTAGACAAAGCTGTGCTTCTGAAATCCTGGAGAAACTCTCGCCGAGGAACGAAGTTAAAAATGCTGTCAGCATAGTTCGTAGTTGGAATCGGGATCTTAGGACAGAACGGAGTTGACTGGCCACAACGGGTCCAAGGGGCAAAAAAAACTGTAGAACGTCAAGGAGAACCAAAAAAACATGGACTTTGAAGTCAATCAGGCTGGGAATGACTGGGATTCACACGCCAAACTGATAAATCGAACGTGGCTTGGGTTGGCCATCTGCGTCAGGGCCGCCATACCAGGATGGAACGCCTGCCACACAATACCGACTGTGACTAAAGTTTTAAAGCCTTGAGAAGTTGATGACAGAACTATATCGGGGGTGCCCAGGGTACCCCTTACAAGGATTTATGAATCGGGGGCTAACATTACCGTTCATTCTCTTGATTTAGATGCAGCATGATATTGAATTGACACTATGGTTTTGGGGGACATGCATCGTGTGCACCATCCATTTGATTTCATTTGGCCTCCTGTGCAGTGGAGCAGGACTTTGACAATGTTTTCCTGCGGCTGAGTCTATGGGGACAATTATGATGTGAATCGCTTGATGCGGAAGCACTGAAAAGATCCAAAGTCTTGCCCGTGGCAAAGAATACCCTTTCTTAAAATCCAGACATATCCAGACTTTAAGCTTTTCACTTTTGTTAGCAAAATAATTGTAGGTAATCAGGTAATCAGGTTTGCCTCAATCGATTTCTTTTAAGGTGGGCTTATTTTCGAATGCAACTTAGCTGAAGACAAATCTAGAATTGCCAAAAGTTTTGATGTCACCATTCGGACCGGGGCAACAGTAATTGCATGTAACTGCAATATCTTGTAGCAAGGCCTGCCACCTAACAGTTGACATGGTGCATCCCAGTCCTCTTTCATCTCTGTGTTGACTGCAACCGTGTGTCCATAGAAGGTGTTCACCTTGGGCGCTGCCGAACCGAACGTTGTCGTATTCCCTACATGGCTCACGAGTTCTCCTCTGGGCTGCCCTGCCATAGCTTGCACTGGGTCAGTGAGTCTGTTGATGAAATTGCTGGTCTGAGCAGGGCCAAAAAATCTCGTCGCCAATATCCAAGGACTCGAAGGATTCCTTCTTAAGATTAGTTAAGTCTTAGGCACTTATGCATATTTATGCATACTTATGCAGGAAAGACCGTCCAAATGCGCCTCTGCTCTTGCAATCTGATTGTTGGGTTCGCCGTTCTGAGTGGTATTTTTCCAAATCAGCTCCACCTTCAGATAAATACCTGGGCTGTCTGGGCTCGTGACTTGGAATGACATGCAGGGGGAAAAAAAAAAAGCCGGGCCAAGACATTGACATACTTTGACCATTCCGGGCATTCCGGGCATTCCAGAGACCATTCTGATGACCATTCTGGGGACCATTCCGACCCATTGAGGTGTTCTCCGAAAGTGCATTGCAGGTGCCGTTTTGAGTTTTGATGCCGCCTGCCGCATTGACCTTGTCTCGCCACCATTCCAGGCCCAGGGAAATGTTGCGGCCTACAGGAGTGCACAAAGTGACACAATGCACAGCTCAAGTTTATCAAGTACAATCACAGTCTCTCAAGGATGCTTTGGAAAGAGCACATTTGCATACATTTGCCATGTTTGTCTCTTGACATTTCTTTTCAACACTGAAAGGCTTGGAGCCCGCTTTTTGCATTAACCAATCTCTACCAGGCAACAATGTCCTGGAGCAGTGGAATTTGCATAATTCTGATTCAACAGTGTTTCTTAATGTCAAAAGACGAGGCTGGTTCGTCTACAGAGTCTACAGTACGTCATGGCCCAGTCCAACTGCTCCAACTGCGCGATCCGCTCATTTTGTGACTGTCAAGACTCCAGCTGGACTCACAGAAGCACTGAGGAACGGCACCAGCCTTCTTCAGTATCAGGTGAAATGACACCAATCCTGAGAACAGCAAGGTTCGTCATGGCAAAAGGAAGCCCATGGAAGACCATAGAAGACCGACTAGTTACACAACTTTATCATTGGGGAGACCGCGCAGCTTTTCGGCAGAGGATCCGGAAAACGGGCGGTTCGGCACACTGGGTCGCATTGCATGAGTCTCTCTCTTCCCAGGTGGGTGCTGGGAAATAAAGACCTCAGCTCGGCCAGGGTCGCCGTCTTAAGGACCCTTGAATTGGCAGCACTATGCTGTGACCAGAACTTCAAAGGAGCAGTGACTGAGTAGTGGCATGTGATGTTTGTTGCATGTGAATTATGTGATGTTTTCAGTTTGTGTGACATGGTGCGACATGGTGTGACTGCACAGTCCAGGCAACTCTCCGATGCCAAGAAACTCGACTGTGCCGTGGCTGCGGGCAACACAGCAACTTGGCCCATCGGTGGCAGCATTTGCACAACAGCGGCCTCATGCCCGATATTCCTCAGAAGAAACTGAGATTTGTTTCACACCTGCTTGCCGAGTTGCTATAAAAAATGTTTGAATACGAAAATCAATAGATAAGGAGGTTTGGGTATCTGTATGTGTAGTCTGTACTATGTGAAGAGAGAGAGAGAGAGAGTATCATAGTGTCGTCGTAATATGTCCGTACCTGTTTGTCTAACTGTTTTTTAATGTGTATATATATATATATAATTATATAATTATATATATATATCCGTTTTATATAGGTATATAATACAGTGCATAAGAATAGATATTCCAGCATTTGTGTTCTATCCCGTGTATGGCTGGGTCAAATATGTCAAATTGCCTTGCTTCAGCTCAAGCTGCACCAGGGCAAAATGAGCATTCTGATGCTCCAAGCATCTGGTTGTATCGGCTGAAGCGAACTCTCCCATACATGGTGTCTTCCTGCATGCTGCGCCCTTCTTGGGCTTCAAGCCGCTAGGTCTGATTCCAGTCGAAAATTGTGGGAAGCTGCGAAAAGCGCTTGATTATCATCTTGACTTTCAGGGATATGGCATAAAGATGGAAAACACACGTGCAGCACCATTGGTGTTGGCTGCTGAGCTGCAGCAACACGAAAGAATCACATCAAACAGTAGACCAATAGTCAACGATGCAGATACCTAGTAAGAATCGTTCAAGAAAGCTAGGAACGCGCACACCAGAGTGAGGAGAAACCATTCAGATGCCAAAATCTATTCAAGTCACTGTTCAAGTTGGGACCTTGCGTTTTGAAAGTTTTTCCAGAGTGGCATTACTCATAATGCCCCTAAAGAAAAACTCAGCGTAGGGTAACAGACGTAAGATGTTTACATAAAACTTACGCCAGGCTCAGTTCTCGTAACTCAGCCAGGGAACGTCGAAGTCTCGAATCATCAAACGAAGCCTCTCCTCGAAGCAGTTGGTGCCTTGAGACAGTGTTGGTTTGCCGGCTTGCCCATACCCCCGCTTGGATCCATTCCCGTTTGACACCTAAACAACTCTGTCAGAAATTGACATCCTGTTGCAAGAGCATCGAGCAAAATGACTAACAACCACAAACCAAGCACAATATATAAACTACTTAGTAGTGCTTTGATATTTTTTGATTTCTTCCGCCACATCAATGAAAATGGGCTGGAACCTAAGGCTGGCTTAGCACTGGCTTAGCAGTGCACAGATTGAAGACTCCGGATGATCTAAGAATTCCGACCTCCACACGAACTCGTAGGAGAGTCGGGCAGCAGGAAAGTGCCCATCAACACCTGCAAAGTGCCCATGTCACCCATGTCACCCATGTCACCCATGTCACCCATGTCACCCATGTCCAAGATGTTCCGCCCGTTCCAACCATTCCACCCAAATGAGCAGTTCCTGACCAAAATTGACACAGTGGCTCGGTGCATGCTGCCCTTCGAGAACACTGCTCACATTGTAAGTGCGTTGCCTTGCTAATTGCTCGCTCAAGGATAACGCCGGCGGCGGTACAAGAGGCAAGCAAGTAGTCCGGATATCGGCTATTGTTTGCATAAAACTCCGCAGCGAAAGTGCTTGTATTGCCCACAGAAGAGTAGTCTGGAAAATTCCTGAGCAAACTTGGCCATGACAACCGTCCAGATTCCTATGATCTATCATTTCTTACAGAAACAGACTGCGAATTGAAACTCGGCCCTGGTAGTGCAAATGATTAAAAATCGTTGAACTCTCCGGAACTCCTAGGGTTCCCTTATAGCCTGATATGCTGATAAAACCGTCCGAGAAACATCCATGGACTTACAAGTTACCCGGCAATTGCTTTACTTCGTGTGATCCCCGCCGTGTTGACGTACTTTGCGAAGAAGTTTGTGAGATATGTGTTGACATTTATTATCACATACATTACCACAATATCTAACAGTTTTACTGATTTCTTTTGACGTGTCTGCTGACAGTCTCTCTGACATATATTCTGACACTTTTATTGACAGTTTCTCCGACATTGACTCTGACATTTATTCTGGCAATTTTTTTGACATTTACTCTTACAGTTTCTCTGACAAATCTTCTGGCACTTGTTCTGACACTCAAAATTTTCAGATGTTGAAATTTATCTGACATACATAAATACTATATGATCATATATGGTTATTTGATGCAACCACTCAATGTTATTGAATTTTGGTGTACTCTAGCTACAAGCACCGTGCTTAAGTCACATCAGGCTGGAAAAGTCACATCATCCACATGGCACGGCGGCGATACAGAAAAGTCACATCAGGTAGTGGAAAGTCACATCAGGGAAGAAGAATCACCATGGCACAGCCTGTTTCATCTACAATTGGAGATTTAGTTAAAAGGAGCCGAAGCATTGCGCACAGCGATGATTTTGAAGGGCGCAAGTTAATACAAACAAATTTTCGGCAGCTAATCCTACTGGATTTGAATATATTATATTGATGTCCTGCGTCGCGTGACCAAATCAAACCCCTATTGGTACAGCCTCAATTTTCTTGCAATGCAAATGGATTGGCTGTGTAGCAAATCCTATTGGCAGGGCTATGATCTAGGATGATATAAGGATATGGGGGTCCCTTGCTTTCCGCAACCAAATCTGTGGCTGGCCCGATGTGCATCAAGATCAAGGTGGTGGACAGGTTTCAAGACGAAGTTTGTTGTCCTATCATGTCCTATCCACCCAGCGTTTACGAGTTGGAATTAAACCTTTCGTTCCATTGCCGGCGGAAAGCGAGGCAGGTTTTGTCGGTGCTTCGTCTGCGTCGTCTGTTGTGTGTTCCGCCTTGCGCCGTTTTGTGCCGTGTTGCGCTGTCTTGCGCCGTCTTGCTGTCTGCGCCGTCTTGCGAGATGGTGTGACCTGGTGCAGATGGTGAACGCAACAAAACAACCGCGCTATGCGACCGCAATGTTTCATTCCAACCAGCCAGAAACATTCCCTCTCTGTGCTGGTGTCTCCCGCCCGTACCTCCCGCCAGCGCCAAACAAGGCGACCGAGACTGTTATTTTCTTTTTCGACAAAATGTTTGCACCAGCGGCAGTAGCAGCAGCAGGAGGAGGAAGCAGCAGCAGCAGCAGGAGGAAGCAGGCAGCAGCACAGCAGCAAGAGGAAGCAGGCAGCAGCAAGAGGAAGCAGGCAGCAGCAAGAGGAAGCAGGCAGCAGCAAGAGGAAGCAGGCAGCGGCAGCGGCAGCAGCAGCAGCAGGAAGCAGCAGCAGCAGGAGGAGGAAGCAGCAGCAGCAGCAGAAGGAAGCAGCAGCAGCAGAAGCAGCAGCAGCAGCAGGAGGAAGCAGCAGCAGCAGCAACCAACGAGAAACCAACGAGAAACCGGGTGGTCCGGCACCAGGTCGGGGATGACATGGGATGACAGGGACACAGAGAGTCGAGCTGGCTTACACACGTCCGAACAAGATCCGAACAAAATTATCGGCGTTTAATGGCATTTCTGTGTTTCGGTCCGAATGCGCTCATGGGACTGTCCTGGCTCTGGATTCGGCTACAGTTTTGCTTGCACTTGTCATAGGTGCCTATGTCATAGGGCCTCATGAAATCAATTAAGTTCCACGACTCTGTCGCCCCAGTATGCCAGGATGCTGTGTGTGGTGCCATTGCTGTGGTGACAGCACATAGTCTCCAAGCGATTGGCCGAATTCATCGCGAGGAAAAGTTGCGTCCCACACCGGATTCGTTGGCCTCAGAACATCTGAAAGAATCCAGAACGAAAGTGGAGATCAGCGCAGTGACATGCTGCAACATGCTGTGCAAGGGAATTTCGTCCAGGCACTGCCAATGCCATCTATATCCATCTATTCATTTGTTGTCAGCAATGAAAACAACCAAGAAACGCAATGGTAATGATGTTTGCAAGGAGGTCTAAACGCTGGTCAATGATCTCCTCGCAAGTTGTGTCACTGCATGGATTTCCAGGGTTCCAAAATGGGATTTTGATACTCTGCAGGACGGGCATGTCACTTTTGTTGACTTTCCTGCTATTTCGGCACCTGCCTACGTAAGAGAACAGGCTGAGAGAGATCACAGGCAGTTGATCGAACAAAAAAAAGGATCGAGAATATTCAAACATATTCAAAACATTTCAAAACTTCTTAGAAGTCTTCCTTTTCGCCATTCCGCTATTTTTCGCTCCTGCTGCAATTTCAGACCATCTGCAAGCCAAGTGCAGCCCATCATCACTTTCGTCGGAGAGTTCTCAGCATCGAGGCAAAATGTATCAGAATCTGCTGCAGTATCTATCCTCAACATTCCTGAATCCACATTACAATCATTACAAATGTGCTACAAGTTCTCAGTAGCGGATCCTGGTCTTTTGGGTGTGTTTGCTGTCTACGCGAGCCACCAAGCGAAACCCTTGTCAGATCCTTCTTGATGATAAATCTCCACAACACTTGTTATAACTTTGTCCTACACATTCCTAAACCTTGTCAGCTGGAGAACCAGACCATCTTTTGCAGCAATGGAAATGACCCTCAACCCCCGCCTTCAATGCAGCTATGGCTGCAGGCAGAGCTGTCTCATAGTCTGCGTCGGTGAACTCAAAGATTTCGTTGTTATCAACTTCCTTGGCCCGGATCTCGTGAGTCTCGTGAGCCAGAGCCAGGCAATGCCAGGCAGATCAGGCAGTGAGATGTTTCAAAAACATCACTTGAAGGCAACTTCAAGGCAATCTTGACTGCGGTGTGTCGCACCAAATGCACCAAAGCCGTGACTACAATGTCATAATGTAGCATAATGTAGGAGAAAAGTGGAAGCGTATCATATATCAAGACTTGTATCAAGAACATGCACCTATCGGATTATCGAAGTTCTTAGGCTTCAAAACAGCTTTGAAGTTTCAGCCTGGTATCCATCCCCGCTGCCCTTGCTCGATTAATGGACTCTCTGCATGTGAAATTTGCAAAAGCATTGCCTGTGACAGAGCGGCTCGAAATTTCTCAAAAATGCCTTTAGTGTTTTATGGTGTTTTCACATCCTTAGTGGTTGTCGTTCCTTGAGAATGTCCAATACATTTCAATACTGTGTCCACCAACCAGTATGAAGACAAATATCATATAGTCTATTAATCAACTATTCATGTCTATCAGCAAGGCCTTTGAAGTCTTCCCAAGCGAAGTCACAACTGCCACAGTCCCGATCTTTCTGTCAGGTTCTACAGCTAGCAGCTTGCAACGTTCAGCTTGCCTACGTTGCTCAAGAAAGCGACTCGGTTGTTGGGTAACCGCTTGCCGAAGCTCATGACTTTCCTTGGGTCTTCACGGGAACGCCACTGTGAAAAATCCGTTGTGATCATGTTCACATATTATAATATATTATATAGGTGTCTCTTCTGCTAGTTTTGATTGTACAATGTCGGCCTGAGACAAACAAAACATGCATGGTCACAGCTTTCAACCAACCTTTGGATCCTCAGAAAATCCACTCATCAGTCAATGGGATCCGTGCTCGAAAATTCCAGTGCCGTAGTCGCTGGACGGCACCATGACACCAAACTGAAAGCCTCGGGCGTCGGCAAAGATGGGGCAAAGCTCCGCACGTTTCAACGCCGATAGATCGACGGATCGACCACAAGACATCGACGCCAAGAGATGCCAAGAGGCTCCACCTTGGAATGCCAAGGGCTTCCAGGCCGTACATGCTGGGAGTACCACCAGAGCAATGCATCAACACGGTCTCAATCTGGTTCCTCGCATCTCAGGGCTCACGGGCTCAGGGCAGCCAGATCTCACGGGCACATCGTCATCTCGTGTTTGGCAAACGTCCACCAAAATTAAAAGGCCAAGTGGCGGCCAAGGCGGCCAAGTTGTGAAAATTATAAAATCATTGTGTATCAAAATGATTCAACATGTGAATCAAATTGAATCTTATTACAACGATTGATGGAAACATCAGCAACAAAAACTGAACTTGTGAAGTCTGGTGAAGTCTGGTGCTCAAAAAATGCTGATGCCGAAGAACTGAGCCATCACGTCATTCACAGCCACATTGAACTGCTGAAACGTGTTCACCATGGCGTGCACATACTCGGGAATTCCTGCCGGAACACTTCTTATATGATGTTTTAAAGAAACCATCACCAATATCAAAACTAAAAAGAATTACTGACAAATCAGCATCGCAATCTTGCTATAATTAGATGAATTCGGTTTACCACTTTCTTTTGCTAAAAAAAAACACAGCAAGCGAAACGCGGAACCTTGACTCATCATTTGATGCAGCTGTATAGCTGGATTGGATTTTGATTCCGACATATGGAGATGCATCAAAACGAATTGCAACACATTTAGGGGAATAACCATCCATTTACCAGCTGAGCCAAGATACCATTTGAAAAGTCCAGGATTTTCCTCAGATCGCTGCAAATTCAAGTGGAACTATTGTAAATTGGGAGAGTCATCCTGCAATCTCGCCAAGTATCTGTGCAGCTTCTGTTGGAGAAGACACGACCAACGAGACCAGTTCCACCTCCAAGGGCAGTAGATATTGGTAGACATAACATTGATATAGCTTGTAGAATGGTCACAGAACGGTCACAGCAACAATTCGGCAAAGGCCAAGTCCGAAGCCTCCATGACGATCGGAGGGTCATCACCTGTGCGAAGTCCTGTGACCCGGCAAAAATTCCATGACTGAAAGCACAGGGAACAAAGGGCACAACGGGAACAGCGCTGACTTGAGTCCTCCATTTTCATTGACTTTGTTGCCTGGATTGACCAAAAATCAAACGATTATTCAGAAAAGATTCAGAAAAGAGATTTCGAATCAAAAAAGCCTTCCGCAAAGATTTCTGCCAAGGAACGCCACCAGATAAGGCCATCCAAGAAAGATTGGCCAAGACCTCCTGAGACTGTCACAACACCTCGGAATGCCATTGCCATTGCCATGGCACATCTGTCTTTTGCACGCAGCTCCCTGGAATGCGCTCAACCCGCTGAACTTACAGTGCTGCCATGTTGCCAATTTTGAAGACATTCGCCGATCTGATCACTCTGGCGTTTATGAGCAGAGCAAGAAGGATTGCCTGAGCCGTTGAAGAGAATTCTGGCGGTAAACTCGTCCAACCAAAAAAGATACAATCACACTGTCACACTCATGACATCGCAGCTCTCATCACGTGTCTCGTGCCGAAGGGCTCGAAGCGAAAGCATGTGAGTTTGATGTCACATCAAAGGTGCAAAATGCACCAGCGCCGAAGGGTGATGTGTCTCTGCGACGTCGGGTATTGTGTGTGTGTAAGAAATTGTGTGCTGTGCTGTCGTTGTCTGTTTCAAAATTCTGGCAAGCACCGTTAACGGCGGCCCGATGCTCTTGTGTCGTGGACGAGCCCCGGAAAACGTGTGTGCGGAACGCTGCTATACAGGTCCGATGAGCTTTGAGCAATGGCGAACAATGGCGAGTAGTGTCTCTTGCAGTGCAGTTTCAGACCAAATGATAGAGAAGTATGTAAACTATAATAAACGCGTTCATTCAAAGTATTGAACTTATTCACAAATAGATCCCTGCAAAGTGTCAGAGTTTCGAGATTTTGGGTGTTTTTGTTGACCATAGTTTTCCAGAATGTTTTGGTTGGTTCCAATCGGCTACAATTTCTGCAGCCTAAGGCAAACGTGTTTTTGTTCTGAACGCGTCTTCAACTTCTCCGCAGGCGAAGTCATCCGCGACTTGAGAGTCACCTAAAATCCAGTGGTCAATCATATGGGTATGTTGAAAACTGAGCGTTTGCAAAATTGTACATACTAGTACATATATTCATATATACATATAAGAACATATAAGCCACTTTAAATTAGTTTTCAAGGATATTTTTTCATGCAATTTGTATAGGATTCATAGACCTTGAATGATATGTGGATGATATAGCCACAAAATTGGGGTGCCCCAGTTTCGGACACATGCACGCGTATCTGGGACCGTTGCCGGCGCCCGCGTTTCTGGTGGTTCATCTCAACCTGGAACACAGCCGAAACCCTTCGACGGCCACAACCTCTCTTTGGATTGTCTTATCATCATCGGTATCCATGTAGATATGTATTTGCATATATATAATATATTAAAATATATATAATATATATATATGTATATTGTGTATATATATTGTATATATATATGTATATTGTGTATATATATATTGTATATATATATATTGTATATATATATATATATATTGTATATATATATATTTATTTATATTAAAATAGTAAATACATATCTACGTATAGTATATACACATTTACTCGGATACGTATAAACATATATACATATTCACAAATATAAGGATATACATATATACAGTATTGTAAATAAACATATATGAGCATACACACACACATATATATATATATATGAGCATACACATATATATATATATATGTATACGTATATACATATATATATATATATACATACAGATTTCCATATTTACATACTTTACATGCACGTATTACATATACATATGCGAAACTTAACTATAAACATACTGACATATACATATTTCGCCTCTTGGATGAGCTTGAAGAAGACTGGCCCATCCGCAGCTGAAGCATCTGTGGTTACCCAGCCGACAATCCTTGGCTCTTGAGACTGCACCAACAAGAGAATATCAATAGATGCAGGAAATTGGATAAGAAAGACTATTGTATATTGTTTAGAACATGACTGGCACATGTATAGATTGGAGACTAAAACCTGGAAGGGGTCTGACTTTTGCTGAATTTGCTACGCCTCTCAGGCTGGCCTACCGAGAAACAAGGCGCCTGCTCATTTGCCGTGGTACCAAAAACATGCCAAACCAACATCATGGCTGTACTTGAGTTCCTGATCTTTTGTCAGTTGTACGGCGCTCAGTACCCTGGGCTCCTCTGTGACTGCGAGCCAACCAATGAGCCAACAACAGAGGTGCGATACCTTGCAGTTGTGAGTTCAGCCTGCAACTCTGTCGGTGACATGGAGACGACTGCGTCTATCAGCTTCAGTATCTCAGCTTCATGTTTTAGCTCGTAGCACTTGGTCGGTTGGCCAGCGTTGCCAAACTGCACTCTGCAGTTTGTGTGCAGCCGCTCTTCGATTTGTCTGCCCTTTTGAAAGGGCGTCGCACAGGCACACAATGCGACGCCCTTTCAAAAGGGAAGACAAATCGAGAGCGGCTGCACACAAACTGCAGACAACAGTTCGACAACACTGGCCAACCTGGCACATGGTTCCAGATCACCAAATTAAAAGAACGGAAAACACCACAAGGCAACTTCTTCCAATAATGAGCACCACATGTTGTAGCAGGGACGGGGAAAGAAGGAAAGACAAAGGAGGTGGTGGAGGATCAAGAAGTAAAACAAAGTTGTGTGTGACCAAGTTGTATGTGGAAGATGGTGTGTGACAAAGAAATATGGTGTGTGTGTGTGACAAAGTTGTGTGTGAAAGATGGTGTGTGTGTGTGTGAAAGTTGTGTATGAAAGAGAGCGTGTGACAAAGTTGTGTGTGAAAGATGGTGTGTGACAAAGTGGTGTGTGAAATATGGTGTGGCGAAAGATGGTGTGTGACAAAGTTGTGTGGGAAAGATTTTGTGTTGAAAGATGGTGTGTGACAAAGTTATGTATGAAAGATAATGTGTGACAAAGTGGTGTGTGAAGGATGGTGTGTGAAGGATGGTCTGTGACGGTGTGTGACAGATGGTGTGTGGCAAAGTTGTGTGTGAAAGATGGTGTCTGAAAAGTGGTGGGTGTCAAAGATGGTGTGTCAAAGATTGTGTGTGACAAAGTGGTGTGTGAAAGATGGTGTGTCAAAGATGGTGTGTGAAAAATGGTGTGTGACAAAGTGGTGTGTGAAATGGTGTGTGACAAAGTGGTGTGTGAAGAGGGTGTGTCAAAGATGGTATGTGAAAGATGGTCTGTGACAAAGTGGTATGTCACAAACGGCGTGTGACAAAGTTGTGTGTGAAAGGTGGTGTGTCAAAGATGGTGGGTCCAAGCGCCCCGCCAGAGCTAGCCCAGTGCCCTAAGTACCACGCCTGCCACGCAAAACGAAGGTGGATGTCTCCAAGTGCCACGCCTGCCAGGCAAAACGAAGCTGGATGTCGCCAAGCGCCACGCTTGCCACGCAAAACGAAGGTGGATGTCGCCAAGTGCCACGCCTGCCGCGCAAAGTGCTACTGGCGACTAATCCGGTCCAAGCGCGCCACCAGAGCCAGCCCAGTGCCCTAAGTACCACGCCTGCCACGCAAAACGAAGGTGGATGTCGCCAAGTGCCGCACCTGCCATGCAGCAAAACGAAGGTGGATGTCCCCAAGTGCCACGCTTGCCACGCAAAACCAAGGTATATGTCACTAAGTGCCACACCTACCACGCAAAACGAAGGTGGATGTCGCCAAGTGCCAAGCCTGCCACGCAAAGTGCCGCGGCGTCACCGGCGACTAATCCGGTCCAAGCGCGCCACCAGAGCCAGCCCAATGCCCTAAGTACCACGCCTGCCACGCAAAACGAAGGTGGATGTCTCCAAGTGCCACGCCTGCCAGGCAAAACGAAGCTGGATGTCGCCAAGTGCCACGCCTGCCACGCAAAGTGCCGCGGCGTCACCGGCGACTAATCCGGTCCCCCCGCGCCACCAGAGCCAGCCCAGTGCCCTAAGTACCAAAACGAAGGTGGATGTCACGAACTGCCACGCCTGCCACGCAAAACGAAGGTGGATGTCGCCAAGTGCCACGCCTGCCACGCAAAGTGCCGCGGCGTCACCGGCGACTAATCCGGTCCAAGCGCGCCACCAGAGCCAGCCCAGTGCCCTAAGTACCAAAACGAACGTGGATGTCACGAACTGCCCACGCCTGCCACGCAAAACGAAGGTGGATGTCGCCAAGCGCCACGCCTGCCACGCAAAGTGCCGCGGCGTCACCGGCGACTAATCCGGTCCAAGCGCGCCACCAGAGCCAGCCCAGTGCCCTAAGTACCAAAACGAAGGTGGATGTCACGAACTGCCACGCCTGCCACGCAAAACGAACCTGGATGTCGCCAAGTGCCACGCCTGTCACGCGAAGTCGAAGATGGTGGTTGGCAAAGGTGTGTGTGTGTGTGAAAGATGGTGTGTGTAAAAGATGATGTGCGAAAGATGGTGTGTGCAAGATGGTGGTTGACAAAGATGTGTGCGTGTGTGAGAGAGATGGTGTGTGAGAGATTGTGTGTGAAAGATGGTGTGTGAAAGTAAGTGTAAAAGATGGTGTGTGAAAGATCGTGTGTGAAAGATGGTGGTTGACAAAGATGTGTGCGAGAGATGGTGTGTGAGAGATGGTGTGTGAGAGATGGTGTGTGAAAGCTGGTGGTTGACAAAGATGGTTGACAAAGATGGTGTATGAAAGATGGTGTGTGTAAAAAATGGTGTTTGAAAGATGGTGTGTGAAAGATGGTGGTTGACAAAGATGTGTGTGAAAGATTGTGTGTGAAAGATGGTAGTTGGCAAAGATGTGTGTGGGAGATGGTGTGTGAAAGATGGTGTGTGAAAGATGGTGGTTGACAAAGATGTGTGTGAAAGATGGTGGTTGACAAAGATGTGTGTGAAAGATGGTGTGTGACAAAGTGGTGTGTGAAAGATGGTGTGTGAAGAGGAGGCGGCGGAGGAGGAGGCGGGGGGGAGGCGGGGAAGAACCCAGGATACAGAATCAAAAACAAGAACCCCACACACAGATGTGGGGAATAACAAGCCACCCAAAGTCTGGTGACGACAGCGCCGTCAACCTCACATCTGGCTGACTTCAGCTCTCTCATGTCAGCTGGCTGAGTGCAGTGGCACCATCGGTGACTGGTTCTCTGTCGGATCCTTTCCTGGGATGTTTCTAAGCCCTGGTATCAGCCTCAGCTCCATCAAACCATCGTCTCCAGCGCCAACAGCACTGCCAACAGGTGGCCCAACAGGTGTATTGGCCATCATCAACCTTTCCAATTGCCGTTCAGCTTTGGTCGCACGAAGCTCTTGTTCGCGCTTCTCCTGAAGCAGCCGGTTGGACTGCTGAAGACTCCGGATGCAAACAGTGACCAGCTCGATCTGCGTCATTGGTGTCATAGTCCCTGTGCGACCATGGCCATGGTTGTGCTAGGAGGAACACGAGGCACTTCAGTGCTCCCAGTTGTGAGCATTCTTGTAGTGCTCGCAGCGTTGCCTCTGATCACTCCTAGAACGAGCATCATCAGGGGGTGCCGCATTCCTCTCCAGCTGCCGCTGCAAGATTTGCGTATAGACGAGCTGCTGGGAGGAGGGCTTACGTCGATCCTCCTCTCCATTTCCCGCAACTCGAAGATCACCGGTTCATAGCCTTGGATATATCCTCCTTGGCTGTGATCAGGCCACATCTTGAGACCGCTTGAGCCAAGTTCCAAGTTCGATGATGCCTCTGCAATCTATGCATGTGTTTGGACAAATCTATGCATATGTTCCAAGTGATTGGCAAGAACAACATTAATTATAGATGAGAACCTTGAACCCGCCTGCACCAGTTATTGTCACGGCCCCTCCTCCCCCCAAATGGTGGTGCGTGCGATAGTGGGTAAGGATGTAGTATCAGTAGCAAACTGGTATTAAGAAGAGAGGTGGGCGTGACCAGCGTTGGAAAAACCGACAAAAACACTTTCTTGGGGCCAATATTTGGCACTTCCAATCAAATGCATAATGTCAGCATTCCTACAACTATTATTTCCTGATAAAGCCTTCTTCACAATCTATGAAGCCTTGGCCACCCCACACTGAACTCTAGCTGATAGAATGCAGAGTTCGACTACATTCCGACCACATCAAAATCACTAGGTTTCTGGCCTTGCACGTGTTAGGGAAGACTTTGGGTCCCATTGCCATACTTCCAGTCTCTTCTATGTGAGGCAGGTTGCTTATGCGAATCACCGTTTTGCCTGCCAGATTTCACCACGATAGGCATCCTGGCTGCACAAAGCATCGACACAAATCTGTTACACATTCTCCAAGAGTCTGCTGCACACAGTCCTCTCGACACCCTCAATGATGGTGGTGATGGGCCCCGCCTGGCAGGAGTTTGAGACTCCATCCACAGCTTCAAACATCTCGCAACACAATCCAGCAACTGCCATGGGCAAAGGGATCGCTAGCGACCTGCTCCACAATGTCTCCGCACGACAGGATTGCGACAACCTCGCTGGGCACTGTCTCAGCTCTGAAGCTGGTGATATGTTCAGAGCACCTAAATGTGAACGGCAGACTCAACAGCCAGCTCTTCAAGAATGATTCAGCACAGGAGCTTCGCTGTCCAGTTCCACAGTCGTGCGGACGAGGATGTCCTTCAATTTGAATTTGACCCCACGGTCCCTTAAGATTGTCTCAAGTCAGCTAAGTTTTGCGCATCAAAAAACTACGGTCTCATCTATTTCATCGGGAATGATGTTTCTGAGTTGTTCGTCCCTTTGGAAGCAAAACAACAGTAGGGAGCTGGAAGAAAACATCCCGCCAAAGGGATGTTCGGTAGAGATTTCCAGAGATCAAGATGAAGGCTATGGCGGTCTCCTTTCCACCAGCTTCGTAGATCGCCTGTCCCACTCGTCGAAACGAGCAAAAACGAACCGTAGAACTCTGGGATGGATATGGATCACATTCAAGCTTTTGTCGAACCAATGTAGACACGAAGAAAAAATCACCACATATACGATTACATCGCCTACGGAGCAAACTGGCCATGGATAGCGCCAGGTGCCCGGACCCGCCACTGTGGGGCATGCGTGCGAATCAAGTACCTCAGGCACAAGTCCACTTGAAATTTCACATCTTTCACCCAGAGTCGTTAAACTTTGAGGACTGACAAACCTTGATTATGCATGTTTGCTGTGTTTGGCTTTCTGCGTCGATATTTTTTGATCCAATCATTACATGGAGATATGATTACGATCTATACGCAGATGATTGTGGACACGATTGTATATGCACAAATAGGGGCGCCCCGAAGTTCCAATGGTTGTAAACAAAAGTAACCATACATACATATACATACACCTGGGGAATATCCGCCGACCCCGGCCTAGCAAGAGGGAGCACGTCAGGGAAGAGAAGGCACAACAGCGCTGAACCCCGCACAACAACAACAACAACAACAACGACAACAACGACAACAACGACAACAACGACAACGACAACGACAACAACAACAACAACAAGGTACAAACAAACAACAACAAGTACTACGACGACGACGACGACGACGGCGGCGACGGCGACGGCGACGGCTACAACGACAACTACAGTCAGGGGCCCCGAAGTTATGTTAGTAATAACTTAAGTTGGGGCACTTATGTTACTTATTTTGAACTTATTTTGAACTTATATAAGTAGAGTTAAGGAATTGTATAAGTAAGTTATAAGTTCGATAACTTAAACGATGTTCACAAAGTTGGCTTTTTCAAATGTTTTTGAACATGAAGAAGTTTTTGGCATTTGCTTAGGAAGTGCCATTTGGATGGCAACATTCATGGTTTTGGATGCATACGCTAATATTTACAGTTTTTCGTTTTTCTATGAATATATATATATATATGATAATATAAAATTAGTGGGCATAACCCACGATGGGAGAGGCGCAACCTCTTCAGGTTAGGAAGTTTTTTTTTGGGACTTCCACGCATGTGTCACAGGCAAATCACATAGTGGTCACCCGCAAAGGGGTTGCCTCAAGTGGCTCAATGGCACCATGTCGGAGTCACCATGGATATTACACTAGACAAAATTGGATTCTTTGAAGAGATCCATCAGGAACTGAGTCCTTTAATGTGCAACCAGCCTAGACAATTAGACCTAAAGTAGATCTCGTGGTTGTACTTTGTGAATAAAATGAAGGTCTTCCGAAAATATCCAACGTAGCCCAAACCACACTCCAAAACCGGCAAATAAATCGTCATCCAAAATCAGATTGCGGCGACCGTGTAAAACCATGTAAATTTATAGTTTGGAAACGGCGTGGTGGTTCTTGGGTTGGCCACATCCCATGTCCGAAATTCTTGCAGGTACACCAGGGTGATCAGCCCCGGCTTCCACCATCATGCATAGCTTCGTTGGCATGCGTTTGCATGATGGCCGCATGCCCCCTGCTCTATTAAAAGGAGAGAAGAAAGAAAAAGAAAAAAGGAGAAGTTTTACATCTATTTAGATGTTACACACACACACACTTGCTCAGAACGGTCGCGAATTCTGATATGAAATGCATCGGACGTGCAAAAAACATTCCAATTAAATCTGGCACGAAGAATGAAAAGTAACAAAATTATATACATATATATATATATATGCACCAGGCCCTGCCACCCCCCCCCTCCCCTCCCCCCCCATGGGATGGGTCCCATATACTGGCCCCATATGAGATCTTCCCCCTCCCCCCCTGTGGTGTGGTGGCGGTGTGGCACTGTCCCCCTCCCCCCCCTGTGGTGTGGTGGGGGTGTGGTATGGTATGTTGGGTATGTATGGTGTGTATGGTCGGTCTGGTATGGCATGTTTGGAAAGTATGGTATGTTTGGTATGTATGGTAGGTATGGTATGTATGGCATGAGTGGCTGGTATTGTATGGATGGTAGGTATGGTATGTAAGTCTGTTGGGTATGGTATGTTTGATATGACAGTATGTATGGTCTGTATGGTATGTATGATTACTATGATGGGTATGGAATATTTCCTATGTAAGTCAGGTATGGTATGTATGGCATGTATGTTTGCTATTGTATGTATGGTAGGTGTGGTAATTACATTTCATATGTATGGTATGTGTGGTATGTATGATAGATATGATAGATATGATAGGTATGGTATGCATGGCATCATTGACATGTATGGTAGGTACGGTATATGTTAAACACAGGTAGTGTTGTCAGAGTACACAGGTAGTAAATAGGAAGTAGATACAGTAGATACATAGCACATGTATATATGACTATAGGTAGCACGTAGGTACTTTGAAGGAGTATGTGTGCTACGTAGGTCGCCTAAAAGGTAGCATGTACCTATATAGTAAATGCGAGGCTGGTAGTCAGAAATGCTGCAAAGACCTAGCAAATACGAAGCTGGACCTCAGAAATGCTGCCAACAGCTTGCAAATAGAAGGGAATTGGGGCTGCTACCTGGGGACCCAACCCATGGGGGGGGGAGGGGGGGGCGGAGAGACGGAGGACGGGACCATATATATATATATATATAATGGTATAATCACAGTAGACAGTCACCGTATAAAACAACAGTGATAAGATATATGTCCCCCCCAGCTGCGGCTTATATGCGCCCAGGGGCGGGACTATATATATATATATATTTATTTATTTGTTTATTTATTTATAATATGCAGGTACAGGTTCATGCGTCCATGAACCCATCCACCACATCTTCCGTAGCTTCGTTGGGCAACATAGGAAGATGGGCCGTTGCCCCCCTGCAATATATAGAAGTTTTACATCTATCCAGATGGTAGACACACACGCCCCGCAGCAGCGGGGCAGATGAAATGACGATGAAAATGAGATGAAGGTGAAAGTGGAATGAAAGTTACCTAACCAGGACGCGAAGAGGGGAACGCAAGAGAAGAGGGAAGAGCAAACACCAACACGACACACCTAGCCCAAAACGGGCAAAACCCTGAAAAGGCAAGGAAAAAGAAAAGCGAAGGCCGACGGACACGGAACCAGACCAGCGGAGGAGGGGGAGGACAGAAGCGCCTGAACCAACCTAACAAAGCGAAACCTAAGCCTACCTCGGCACGCGCAGGACCCAACCTACCTGAACCACAGTTTTTGGCCAAGTTCCGAAATCTCCGATCTGGGGATAGATGGCAGACCGTTGCGTTTGGTCCACTGTTGGAGACCCAGTCGAAGTTGAGCATGATATTCCTTTTTGGACGGAAAGACATTGTTGAGCAAGGAGCCTTCTGCAATGACTGCCAGCTCCTCCGAGACGAGGGATTTTAGCAGGGATCCAGCCAATACCCAGTGGGGGTCAGAGGGATTCAATGCCGCGGTTTTGAAGGCGTTCCAGCGTTTACAGCAGCAGATGGCTGGATTGGAGGTGGACCAGTCCATAATGGCTTGTTTGTGATTGCAAAGTTGATCAAGAACTGCGGCATGTTTGATGAAAACTGTCTTGAACGACGGAGTATGGCAAGGAACTTGGTGGGCCAAAACGTGCACGTGCCATTTTCTGAGGAACTGCTTCAGTTTCATTTCTCGGAGTGCCGCAGCCCGGGGTGCAGGTTTTCCGTGCCACCACTTGATGGAGGCGTCGATGGCATTCAAGGAAAGGGTGCGGAAAGGCTCCTGGATGTTGGTTGCCAGGCGACGGAGGGCATAGCAGAGAGTGAGGCCACCGTCATTAGATCGCAGCATTTTGGTTTGTTCGAATCTGGCCTTGGTGTTGGACCCCAACGCGTGTATAATGGTCCAGAGTCCCAGACGGTTTTGAAACCTTTCCGAGGTCAGGATCCTGCGGACAAGGCTCGGAGTGAACTTGTGTTTGGCGCGACGCCAAAGAGTGGCCAGACCAAATTGGGCATTCGTGTTCATAGCTGGTTTCTTGAGGATGCCCTTGCGTGGATGGAAGAATTGACAAATGAAGGGATAGTTGAGTCTTGGTTGCCATTCTTGGATGATGGCCATTTCAAGACTGCGATAGTCGGAACGTTCAGTGTAGATGGGAATGGGTGCCCAGATGTAGAGGTTGTCATGTTCACGCTAGTAGCATAGTGCGAGTTCTGCCTGGACTAGTCGGTCCTTAGTGAGTTGAAGATATTTCCGGGAGCGACTGTATTCACGGTCCAAGGTATGGTGCATTGCAGACCCAACGTAGAATTTGGGTTGCATGTTTGGAACATGGGTGAAACGGATATAGACACTCTGGGATTGGAAAAATGGTCGAGAGAAAAGGTTGTGGGCGTGGAGTGTGGAACCCCATAAGTGTCTTAGATCTGTACATCCTTCCAAAATTGACTTCAGCTTTTGATTTGGACGGAGTCCGTGGATGACGGCAAGCACCATCATGCGTGTTTGGATGATGCGAAAGCCTTGAAAGAGATGAATGCTGTGAGTCATGGTGAAGGGGGACAAAATGTAGATGATCAGAATCATCGAAGTGAGGATTGCAAGATGGGATTGAAGCACTTTGTGCTTGAGCTTCCTTCGAAATTGAGGAGCTAGTCAATTCGTCAGACTGATGGCTGCAGTCATAGCCTTCAGGAGATTCAAAGCATCATAGTTCTTGCACATAAGGCTCACGGGGATGCTCATCATAACAGCGACTCGTTCCACGGTTTCAATGGCCTCTGCTGGTTGGTGCGACCACCACTCTTCGGTCTTGGCGATGTTGTCAGTCAGGACTTTCCTTTTTGGTTCAGACAATGGCAGTTCTTTGAGCCATTTGTTGAAAGCACGTACCGCCAAGGTCGTTGGCATATGTTGAGACAGCCAAGGATTGACCGTGGATGGGCAAACAAGGAGGCTCGATGGTTCGAACTTGGGTGGAGCTGGTGGGCTCGGCTGATTTGAGTTGTTCATGAGGGCCCTTTGAATGGGTGTTGCTGCCGGACTGGATGCTGAAGGACCTGTATAGCAGGTGAGTGGGTAGCATCACCGGGATCTTCCCCAATTTTCTGACGCAACACTGCCAGTTGGCTGCGCAGTTGGGTTAATTCGTGCTGGGTGTCGGGATCTGCCATGCGAGTTGGGACCCAACTGTGGATAATGTCCGCTATTTGCTGTGCAGCATACTTGGTGTT